CCTCTCAGGATTATTCAAATTAACGAAGGGGAAAATGAATGAAGAAACATGTCAGTTCAAGTGGAACCTGTTGGGAGTTAATAACAATACATGACATGAATACGTGAGATTTCTTTAAAAATGAACCGCAAAATAATTATGATATTATGTATGATATTTTTAAAGCATATTATGGTGGCATTTTGTTTAACACCGTGCTCTGTACAATCAATTCCAGCTTGCTAATAGAGATCATTTGGTCACCCTGCTGCTGCAGCTTTGTCTAGACCTATTTCCCTTTAGCACACCTTGACTCTGCTCTGCTTCAGCAGGCAGGAGGGGACGATAAAAAGAGTCAATGGAACATTTGACTTCAAAATTAACCAAAGCCAGGTGTCCCCCCCCCCCCCCCCCCCCAAAAAAAAAACAAACAAATATAAGAAGGCCCACACATCCACAATAACTTCTTTCTACTCCTTCTGTCACCTAGTATATTCCATGTTCAGAGGATTTTGTCTGAAAGGAGACCCCACATCAGAGAAGGAATTTCTCTTCACCTCTTTGTTTTCACTATTGCCTCCTCCCTGTCACCTAGTTCCTTTTCCTCTTCCCACCCTCTCACTCTTTGCATTCCTCCTTTTCCCAGCCTCCCTTAGCCCAAACATCTCTTGCTCTCTTTCTAACCCTAACCCTAACCCTTAACTCATCCTACTCTGATTATTTTCTGATTATTTTGTATGGTGATGTTGAGTAATCCCTTAGTAACTCCAAAGGAGCATAACTGTAGTTTTTATGCATGGTGTACATTAAAAGACTAGAAAGGGACTTCATCAACTAAAGAAAATGTTAGTTATTTCAGATAATATGACTGTAATAAGTATCGTGCTGAAGAAGCCACAACCCACAGACACTGCGTGTCACTGTAACTGAATCAGAGCGGTCAATGCCGTGGTTAAAGTAAAAGGAAAAATACAAAAAGGAAACCACCTGTTATTTAATCTGTGCTACCAGCTGAGCGGTTGGCGGGCAGTAAACCTGTTTCCCCGATGCGATGCCAGAACATCTGGGAGCAATATGCATTCTTTTCACAGGGGCTCTGACAAATATCGGCCACCTTGTAAATATAGTAAAAGAAAAAACTTCAGCCTCAAAAATAGCAAAGTATTTGTACTTTCACTAGTAGTTTTTAAAAGTGGAACTATTTTAGGAGCCGACATGTTTTTTTAAAAATGAAATTAAACTTCAGCCGTTAAAAACATGTGTATTGTCACTGTGACAAAGTAGGAGGAAAATATAAAGTGGCCGGAAATAGATTTGAGCCGGTAAAGTGGCCCATTAACAGAGCTCCAATTTGTCTGTGTGCAGTGAAGGGACACACCCCGACTTAAATGAGCCCCGACAGGCTCTTAAGGACAAAAGAGCGAAGCAGGCAACAGGGGGAAAAGCTTCTCAGATATTTTCACCTAGAGAAGAGATTTATACACGTGTGTGCTGCCTTGGATTTCCTTTTTATAACTCAATTGTTTTCTCTGAATTGTATTGTTTTTTGTCGGTGTGTTGAGTGTTTTGTTTTAATGCTAATTTATTTTATCAAAAGAAGGCCATGAAAATGTGGTCTTGTTTTGTTATGCTTAATCATGCATACAGAGCCGGCATGACCACAAAAGCAGCTATCATATCACGCTGCTGATGTATTCATGAAAATACTTGCAAATGGTTGATAGCCTTAACATCTGTGGAGTTGGAACCATTCAGCAATCCCAGAGGTTTCACCGCTTCTTTTGTAAATACGCTTCAGCTATCGTCCTTCGCCGTATGAAGGAAAACCTTTTCCACTATTCCTCTCTGATAACCTTCTCTGTGCGAGTTCTGACCAGACATTACAGGTCACTTCCCCGGGCGGAGTCTGAAACAAACAGTTGGTTGCTGAACTCCCGGCCAGGTGAGGGGATTACTGTCCGACTCCATCCTTCAAAACGCCCCACCAGCTCCATCTCAGGCACCTAACATGACTTTCCACTCAGGTTCGATGTCTTTCTGTCTGTGTGAAGTCCTGCCAAGTTATTGGATTTACGAGTCTGCAAATGTCACATTCTGGTGCATTAACAGGAGCTGCCCCCTGGCACGTCCTTTAGTGTGTGGGAGTACTTGAATGCAAATATTCCACGAGTCCCTCCACCCTCAATAGTTACAGTCATACATACATTTTTGTCTGATTCCTCAGGTCTGCCCATACGGTTGCAAACGTATGATGCATTAGAGTGTTGCTGAAAGTTTGTCCCCACATGTTTAATCAGAAGCCTGATGCAACACAACACTACTGTGTTTGAACAAAGGAGGGAGCAGACTAAACCATTTAACTGAAGAGAGCGCAGACTTCAGCCCCCCAGGGGATGGAACATAAGTGCAGCAGAAATCCAGCCACCAAACAGAAGAAGGGACTTTGACCTAGTAAATGAAGTGAGTCTGATTCCGAAGAGATAATTATCAGCAATGTTTATTAGTACTTGTGTGCATGTAGCCTCTCTCATCACTTACATTCTTGCCAATGGTCTTTAAGTCTTTTCATCAGCGCTGTGTATGATCCCCAGGGTCTTGTTTTCCTTTCTGTCTCTGTACCATGTTCCAACGTGCCAGGAAAAAATGTTGTCTCTTAAGTCCTGTGTTCAACCGTTTAGATGTGCAATTATATGATGTGCAGGCGGTTGTTGCCTGGGGCCAAATTTACTGCAGCTTTTTTGAAGATTCAAATGAAATATCCTTTGATAAGTTAAAAGGCCAATAGGCTAACAAAGTCAGAGAACAGGAACATTGTTCGTATAGGTGAGAGCCGTGTATACAGTCATGTACTCGATATTTGACGTATGCATGACAACATTCTTTTGCTAAACCAACACCTACTTGAACAGTCCTACGGACATTTTATTAGACTACATGTGCAATTTCAACAGATCCTTACCATTCAAATATTGACCAGCATCTTTTATCTACTCCACAAATGCAGTTGTTGTAGAAAGTTTCCAATATGCAGCCTCAGTGAGTGAGTCCTCCACCTTGTTGGTGCAGCCGTGCTTGATTTGTAGTTAGATGTTAAACCAGCTGTAGCTGTGTTTGCGGCCACTTGGGGGCAGCAGAAACAATTGGTGAAAACATCACAGACATATTATGGAGTGCTGGATAGCGAACAGGTGCTGATTCACACATCCAGGAGATGCAAGACCGCTTCATTTATTTGGCTGCATCTGGCCCGCACCTGATTTGAGTTTGAGACCCCTGCTCTAGATATAATATGTTCATCAGTGCTCTTTGGACTAAAAACAGCTCACCAAAAATGAGAGCATTGAACCAAAAGAGTACCGTATTTCTTGGACTATAAGGCGCACTTAAAATCCTTAAATTTCCTCAAAAATAAGCAGTGACCCCTAAATTCCAGTGCGCCTTATGCATGAAATGAATTGTTGTGCTTACTGACCTTGAACCAATTTTCAACCAGTCTAGCATCACCTACAGGGATCTGAATGTTGGTTTTCATAAATCAAATTATTTACAGCAGCTTCATTTTTTGGGGGGCTTAAATAAAAAGGAACAGAGTCTGTTTCCTGTGTCTGTAAACTAAAACGACGAGCCCGAAAGCAATGCAGACCTGAGGGAGAGCGGATGAATTGAAAACATGGATTAAGTCGCTTTAAGCAATCAAATAAAATTAATCTAAGGTGGACGAATCTAATCCACACAGACATACATATTGTTCCACAACAGCCCACATTCTGCTTGATTATTTTGTATTAGAGAGGCTCATGTGATTTGCCGCTGCTCTCCCGCCATCTGGGCTGCAGCCAGAGTTGCGTTCACTTCCTAAACGCCTTCTTCTATCATCACTCTCACCTCTTCCTGCAGCCCTACACGCAGACTGCTACAAAATACCCAGATGTCTCAAAAGAAAGTCTCACAACAGCACTCATCTCTTCTGTATTCAACAGCTTCATTCTCTCTACCTGGAATAAGTTCCTGGTTTCACAGAGTTGGAAAGCCAAACAGCTTTATGCATCTCTCTCTTTCATAATGTCCCAGGTACGGATTTAAGTGTTTTACCCGGTCGGTTCAGAGAGGCAAAGGAGTTTTTATGAGCCCCATCCATTGCGTCCTTCTCTGCTCCCAGACCAACATCCCTCTGTCTGCTTTCCTTGGACAGCCTTGTTAACATGTCTACCGCCCTCTGAGCTTCCGCCAGTACGGGAAACAATAAACAGATTATTTTGTCGAGTTCACTTAACATCAGTCTTCACTTTGATTAGCTATGCGCTCGCTGTGAATGACAGCGAGCGTCCTCTTCACTTTAATGCTGACCTCTTCTGTTTACATTATGTCAGTGTGGCAGTGTCTCTCTCGTCTTATCTTATGAAGGGGGTTTGTGATTTGTCGTCAGTCTGTGTGGGTTTAGTATTTTTGTGATATAGTGTGCATGTCTCACACACTTCACGTTGTTGCATTATTATTCCCCCGTTTGCTGAAGTTTCTTTCTTCTTTCTTTAGTAAATATTGCCATCTTGTGGTGAAAGAAAACGTCTAAGGTTTAAAAATCCAGCCCTGTTTCTGTTTTTTGTTGGTTAGTTTCAAGAAGTGAAAGTAAAATGTATTTAAGTTTGTGCAAGTCTTTGCACGCTTGAGTCACATGAAGATGATATGTGCCTTTCTGCCATGCTCTCAAAGAGGCGTCACAGCGCAAAGAGGAAGTCGATCAAACGGTTCACAAGACAGAGGAAGTTTATCACACAGGAAACACTGACATATATTTACTTATATTTAAATAATACATGTTTAGTTTCAGTACCCAATCAAGGTTTGAGTGATAATGTGAATCATGGAGTCTGTAGTTTCTTAATATGTGGCTAATCTGCCAAATAATAAAAACGACGCTTCTGTGTTTTGGGAAAACGTCATGACAGTTACAGCGTGTTGGTGACACTGAACTCATGGCTCCGCCCCCCACCCATGAGCCCCATGTGACCCAGTGTCAGGGTGAGGCTCAGGGTGCACTTGTTTCTGAGGGTTTTGACGGCGACACAGCAGCAGGAGGCCGAGGCCTCAACGGACCGTTTCTGGAACAATGGACTACCAACAGAAACTGGCCGAGAAACTGACCATCCTCAATGAGAGAGGGAACGGGGTGTTAATACGCATGAACCACATCAAGAAGGTGAGGGAGAATAGCACTTCAGTTTATTTGTCTAAAAGAAATAAGGAACTTGACTTTCAGAACATATGTTGCGCCCGGGTAGTTTTCTCAAAGTATGTTCCTGCTTAGAGTAGTGGTACAAAGATACATCTGACAGTTAACAGAATAAGATCCCAGAGACGTCTTAAAAGAGGACGAGAGCTGGTTTGTACGAATAATAACATAAATTTGTGTCTCCAATAAAGTGTATAATGACTTTATCAAGCAGAAAATACTTCCTTGCGAACGTCCTTAATATGTAATGCAATGAAGTACAAAAGAGCCGTATCATGATGTGAATTACCAGTTATAACTCAACAATCCACTGTTTCTCAAAATAAAGAAACTCTCCAGGAGCTGTGACCTAAACTGCTGTGATAAAATGATATTAAGTAGCTACAACAACTGTGCACGTAGTTCTACAGGCAGCACTCTCTTCCAAATGCAACCGAGTTTATTCCTCCAAAGAGGAAGTGCAAACAGGAAGTCAGTCTGGGCCGTCACTCACCTCAAACTTCAGTTATTCTAAACCCAATGCTGAGAAACTCACATACAGATTATATGCAGACCAGTGAAGCATCATGAAGAATGTAATTAATTAATGTATGATTTATTCTTTATGTGACTTACACACACACACACACACACACACACACACACACACACACACACACACACACACACTTACACATACATCCCCTTTTCGTAACCCAACACTACTGTGTGGCTGGATTCATCCGGAGGAGAAGTGGAAGAAAAATGTTATTTTGAGCGCAGCGTAGATGAGCTGAGCATGTTTTATTCCAGAAATCAGACTTCCCCCCTCGAGAGCTACTAAACAGTCTTCTTCTATCTGCAGTTTAACAGCCCCGCCGGTGCAGTTCAGGGTTCACTATTCTGCTCGAGGTCACCTTGAGGGCTGTTGTTGAGGGAGATGGAGAGAGCTTTATGGCCCAATCTGTTTGCTTTTTTTAACCAGTGACTGGGTGTCACTCAAACGGTAAAAAAAAGAAGATTTAATCCTAAATCGGGAGAACCGGCGGGGCATGGCAGCAGGGGATGGACATTGTGTTTAACTGCCAAAACCATCCGAGTGAAATATGAAATATTTTTTTGCTGAGTATTCCGGTATTATGTGCAAACGGACCATATCACACCCGCACACATTTTCTCTTTTCCTAACCCCTTCTCAGGCCTGTGCAGACCCTAAAACGCGTCCGTCCATCCTGACAGACAAAGCCATGGAGCCTGCCATCAAATACATCAACAAGAAATTCCCCAACATTGACTTCAGAGGGAATATTGTAAGTTTGACTTTGGCCTTTTTTTTCAGTGCAGTTGTGTACTTTATTCCATTTGGTGATGAAATTATTACTAGAAGGTTTTTTCTTCACAAAATAAAAATGAACATGCTATTATTTTCATATTGGATGGTATTGGCAAGATGATATATAATGTGTTATTGTGTCCATACTTATTTATTTATTATTATTATTATTATTATTATTTATTGTTTATTTCTTTAATAAGATGATTTAATTAAATAGTAAGTGAAGTGAATCAGTCAAGTCACAGGACAAGTGACTTGTACTTTTCACACAATGGGACGCTTCATGATTGTTATAATGAACATTTTCCTCTTTCTTTTTCATAGCAAAATCTGACCAACATCCAGAAACAGAAATCTGAAGTGTTGGCAGCGGCATTGAGCTTTTACAATTCTTTCCTGGATGTCATAGAGTTCAGGGTGAATCTCTTTTTTTTCATATAATGTAAATCGGACCTACATGACAATAAAACAGAACGAAAAAAAATGGATAACATAACAACATAAAAACAATTAAAGTTAAAATAAATATGTATTATTCTTGACTGTGTTTGCAATTCTCCGTCTTTCGTTCTTTCTCTCTGTAACCTTCTGTATTTTGTTTTCCAGAATACATTTACATATAGAGTGGTTTACACACAAGTAGGATGATATTGGATTTCATTGCAAATATCAAAGACAGTTTGCTCTCTGTTTTATGGTGCAGCTTATTACAGCTCAGTCAGATTTGCATATTTCTGTGATGGAGGTCACAGCCACGCCAATGCATCATATTTAGTTGTGAATTGAGAATAAATCAATGTTATAGAAATATGCAAATCTGTAATGATTAGTAGGCTACATGAATTTATGAAAACATCTTCAGGAAATCACTTTGGAGGCTGTTTTTTTATTTTCTATGTTCTAATCTAATCTTCCTTGTTCTTCATTCAGGACCATGTTTATGAGTTGCTGAACACCATAGATGCCTGTCAGTGCTTCTTTGATATTGTAAGATGTATTAAAGTTATATATTAATTTATAAGTCCAGGAAAACAACCCAAGTCAATCACTCCAAATATTCATGCAAACCCATTTCTAAATATAGCTCGTTCAACTAGTCTCCCTTGCAAGTAGAAAAACTACAACTTTTTTACAGCCACTTGCAGGATGCCTGTGTTTTATACTCAATAAATTTCATCCAGAACACTCTCTTGATCAATAGAAATGTAAAAAAAAGTCTTTTAGCTTTATGTAATCTCTACTGTAGCATCTCAGTATTTCACAAATTGGTTAATTTCAGTCATTTCCAAACCAGTAACTACCCTTTTTTTAAACTTTTTATTTCAGTCTATCAACTTTGACTTCACCAAGAACTACTTGGATCTGATCATCACCTACACGTCTGTCATCATAATGCTGTCTCGCATCGACGATAAGAAGGCACTGGTGGGCATGTTCAACTGTGCCCATGAGATGACCAACGGAAGCGGGTCAATTCAACTATTTCTTTGATCCTCATGATAAGAATATTAACTACATCTACTTGTATGAATTTTACAAACAAGAGACAAAAGACTAATTGTTAATTGCTTACTGTAATTAATCCTACAGTGACCCCTCTTACCCACGGCTGGGACAGATGTTTTTGGAGTATGAACATCCTTGGAAGAAGCTCACTGAAGAGTTTGGTCCTCACACAAGGGTAAATTATGCACATGCACCAACAATAATAATACAAGCGATTCATCATTTGTATTTACTAGATCATTGCACGTGCTTTTTTGCATAATCATGTACAGTAAACCACACCTTTCTTTTCCATGATTTGCCGTGAAGTGTTGTTTTCTCTTTCAAAGTCCTTTCGCTTCTTCCTCTTTCTCCGCATGCCTCCAGCTTCCTCACTCACTGTTTTGCTGTCCCTCCTCTGTCCATCTCCCAGTCGGTGACGGCAGCCTTGCTGTCCCTGAGGATGGTCTATCCACGCAGGAACCTGCCAGCCGAGCAGTGGAGGAGCGCCCAGCTCCTAAGCCTCCTCAGTGCTCCGGCTGGCATGCTGGACCCGGCCTGCTGTGATACTGTGAGTCCACTACACCTCCCCCCCTCCTGTATTTATCTCTGACGGAGGAAAGAGGAGAGGGGAAAAGGGGTAGTGTCTGAATTGTGGTTTTTACATTGATGTCGTGTACTGAAATGAGAGAGTGTCACAGATAATACACTATGTCCTACTATTATTACAGGATATTATATGATTTATTGTATTATTTTTTGATCCCTCTGTTCTCCCTTTTTTTGCATAATTCGGTCCCTCTATGTAATGTTAGATTCCCTGTCTTTTGCCTGATAAATAAAAAAGCAAGGCACCTCCAGGCAACAATATCTTATGAAAAGATAAATAATTGAATGCAAAAGATGGACTGCATTTAAAGTCTATAAATAAACCGATGGCTATAATGTTTTTCCTTTCTTAAAGAATAATTAAAGAGGAAAGTTAATTGTTTTCTAAAAACTGTTGATTCTCTTTTGTATGTAGTTTTACTGAGAGGATTTACTACGTCAGGCTTTGAAATAAGGCTGTGCGGAATGTTCCTTTACTGCAGGTTAATAAGCTTGTTGTTCACCACAGATGGCATGTGAATACCTGTCGATGGAGGTGATGGAGCGGTGGATCATTAGTATGTAAACCTAAATCTGTTTACTTTAAGAAATAAATATTCTCAGTTAGGGTCAGTCCCATGATAAACTGATGGCATCCTAAATATTGCTGACTGTGCTCTTTACAGTCGGGTTCCTGCTGTGCCACAGCAGCCTGAATACAAACCAGGCGTCGCAGGAGCTGTGGAAGATGGCTCTGCGGAGCGGCCTCTTCCTCGTCCTGACTAGAGATGAAGTACTCAACATACACAAGGTTTCTGAGGACCTCTTCGACAGCATCAAAGGGTACGTACGCGGCACCGCTCAATTATGAGATGTAGCCCCACTTCAGGAATAAGTGTCCTCATATTTGGGAAAGTAAACAGATAAATAGTGAATTTAAAATGCCTCTTAAGTACCGTCCTCATATCCCTCTCTGGATGAATGAATGAATGCATGATTGAATTGGAGAAAATTATAATGGGTTGCAGTGTAGACAAAAGGTTAAGGAGAAAGATGATGACGGTGATAAAATGTACAATTAATATGAATAAGTAGTTTTTACTGGAGACTTACACCCAATTTATTTCACTGCAAAAGAATATGTGCCAAGACAAAGAAGAAGCAGATTTCCTGTCCACTGGAATTATAACTGCTTCTCGTAACATATTTTTTTTCCAGATACAACAAGCGAGTTGCAGACATCAAGGAAGGTCGCGAGCACGTTTTGCTCAACTGGTGAGACTTGCAGGAATCTAAGCTTCTGTCATTGATGAGTCTTTACTTTGAAATAAGTTTTGGGAAGCCAAAAAGTCTCTTTCCATTTCCTGTTTTATTGCCAGTGGAGCTATGCACAGAGAGAGGAGGCAGTTTCTTAGAGGAACGCTGATGGAATTATTCAAAGTTCTGGAGGACGAACCTGGGCTTCTGGGACCAAAGGTAGAAGGACCGTACAAGTAAAAGCAATGCTCGAGGAATTTTAATTAGGTCATTACTGAAACTTGGAAGTCAAAAATGAAATTTTGTACTGATGAAAAACAGCACCTTTGATCCAGCCTCTCTGGAGGATTTTTCGGCAGTGGGCGGGTTCTTTTGAATGACCCTTCGTTTCAACAGTAATAATTGCCTTTGCTGATCTTAGCGTGAGACTCTTTGCCAATACTCCTTTTTCTGCTCTGTTCTCTGTGCCAATCAAATCCCCAAGGCCTTGTTTGTCTTCATGGCTCTGTCGTTTTCCCGTGACGAGGTCCTGTGGCTCGTCAGACACTCGGAAAACATGCCAAAGATGAAGACAGCCGAGGACTACGTTGACAAGTAGGTCATAGGTGCGGAGGACGTAAACCCCAGAGGAGGTCACTGTGTTTCACTTTAACCTGCAGAAATCTGCCATCGGGCAGGTTCTCCACAACAACTATTCAAGATCTCTGTCCACAGCGCAGCAATGTTAGTTTATAGTTGCACAGCGATCCTTAAGAGTACACGTAAGATTTGACACGGACCGATTTGTACAAATCTAAATTTTGAAGTGGAATAGAAAGTAAATGTGCTCTGTTTTCTTCCCCCCAGTCAGATGGCTGAGCTGCTTTTCCACATGGAGAAGTTAAGAGGTCTCATGACAAAGCACAACCATGTAGTTCAACGCTACCACGTCCAGTACCTCGCACAATTTGATGCTTTGGTTCTCAATGACACCATTCAGGTATAGATATAAATATACCATACAGGAAAAAGGGGCAGTATAAAATGATTTTTAATATTGAATACATCTCTTATACTACAACATGAGTTCAAATTTGTTTCTCCTCTTCAGAACATGTCCGTGTGTCCAGAAGAGGAGTCAGTCCTTCTGTCTTCATTTGTCTCAACCCTCTCTGCTTTGTCAGTCAAACAAGGTAATCACAAAAGCATACGGCTGATGACACACTCAACATTGTTCTCTGTGTAAAATGCAACATACAATGTCGATGTACGATAAAGATGGATTCAATTTGACTTTGTAGTGGAAAACAAAGAGGAGTTTGACTTTAGAGCCCTGCGGTTGGACTGGTTGAGAATGCAGGTAGGTTTGTTGCAACACATTGAACTGTAAAACATGGTGAATGCCACCGCTCAGATTTGTTCATCTCCTCTTTTAGGCCTACACAAGTGTGAACAAGGCCCCTCTTCCAATAAAGGAATACACCGACTTGGCAAAAGTGATGAACATGATTCAGTTTCACACCAGGATGGTGGACAGCGTGGAAGAACTCTTGCAGGAAACATCGGAGGTGTCCATACTCGGGTCGGTTTATTCTCTTTTCCTTTGCGTCGCTTCTCTTTTCTTCAACACTCGAACGTCCCAACTGATTACTGTCTGTTTGTTTAACAGCAACTACCCACGTGTGTTTGAGAAGATGTTTTTCCAGAGCAGTGAGGAGCCGTCCATGAAGCGCTACCTCATGGCGTTCCCCCTCGTCTGCTCTCACTTCAGCCAGTGTGGCCATCCACTCTGCCCAGAGGAGGTCAGTGTTTAGTTATTTGCTTACCAATTTATTCCAAAAGCATCCGCTGAGAACCATTGAAGACACTTGCTGCACTCTGCATTCAGTTTCAGTTAATTTACTTTAAAACACACACGATCAGAGCAATTTCTTAAAACTTGTTTTAACTTTTAGTTTGAAAGTTTAGGAAGGTTTAGGCAAATGTTACTGGAAAATATGCCCTCTACCTTTGTGTGCGTGTGTTTTTGTGTGTGTTCCCTTCGTTTCCTTGAACATGGGTATGTGCACCACCCTCACATGTACTGCACGTGTTTGTGTGTGTGTAGAGAGAGGTGATGGAGAAGAGGAGTCTGCACCTGTGTGTGACCTTCCTGGAGCAGATAGCCAAGCAGACCAGCAGTGTTGTGTTGGAGATATGTGCTGAGCAGTGCACCCTCAATGACCAGGTGAAGTCTATATCCAGTTCCACAAAAATAAATAATTATCTAGACAAGATTGCAAAGTTGCCGCAGCGTATTAATGCTGTGTTGTTTCTGGAATCCCTTTAGGGAAAGAACGACAAATAGGTTTAGTCCTCGAATGAGTGCTTTCAACATCAATATAAAACTCCCATGTTTGTCACTCCCACGTAACCCAATATAGAGCTCAATTCTTCCTCTTTCTTTCTCCTCTCCTTCCCCCCCTTCTTCCCTGCTTCCCCGCATCAATCTCGATCCACTTGATAACCCCTCAGCTGCAGCCCAAGAACTGTGCCGAGGCCATCAGCGCCGCACGCCACAGACAACAAAAGAAGCCGTTGCCAAAGAAGGGAGAGGTCCAGAAAGAGAAACCGGGCGCAGAAAGCCTGAGGAAAGACCGGGCCGTTGTTACCAAGTCAGCTTTCCTTTTTGTTCCCCACTTAGCTTTCTCTCTCCGCCTGAATCTTACTATATTGCCAGATCTTTCAGAAGTATTAGTGTAATTGCTACGTCCCGGATTTCTGGAGACGTGGATAATTACCAACACTCGTTTCAGTAAAACTATGTTTAAAAAGAGGTTGGCAGTGTATACTTTTTTTTGAGGTTGAAGTAGGTTAATGAAGTTTATATTTAATATTGGCTGACATTTCCAAATGATTTCCTTCACCCTATAACAAATTCATTTCCTGAGTTTATCAGGAGGACATTAAAATGCTCTCGCTGACAAGTCATTATATGTGAACTGTATTACCCTTAAAGTTGAACCAGTCAAGGTGGACAGGTATTGATATGTCGCTACAGTAACAAAGCTTACTAAACTAGTTAAAAGAGTCGGAATTCTGTCTCTCCCTCCTCTCTGTTTTCCTCCCCGCATCCTCCGTTTGGAGATGTTTCACAATTTTCTAACATGTTTATTGCCTTGTTCGTCTAAGAAAAGCAAGTCATTGTCAAAACATTTGTCTCCAAGACTTCATCCTGACATCTCTCTCTCTCTCTCTCTCTCTCTCTCTCTCTCTCTCTCTCTCTCTCTCTTTCCCACACCTCCTAGTCTGGACAAGATGCACTTGATGCTGACAGAGCTGTGCTCCTCCTACAGCATCTGCAGCGACTTTGTCGTCTTTGACCACATCGTCGTTCCCGCAGAGTTCCTCATTTCCCACCTGGAGACGCGCCTCTCTGAGTATGAGTGGAGATGGGGGGGGCTTACTTTATTTGTATGGGTGATGTGATGAGTCACAAAGGTTTATGACGAGTCTCCGAGGCAACGTTTATAAAAAAAAACAGATTCTGCTATCTCATGTGCAGCAGAGTTTTTTTTTTTTTTTTTCGTGAATGTCACAGCAATTACTGTCAGAAATATGCTAATAACTAACATTAGCGCTTGTTTTGATTGTGAAAGGAACGCAATGTAATATTAACTCCTCTACCGGTGCTCAAATGTACTAAACAAGTTTACTATTTATAATATTTCATAATAGCTTTCATGCTGCTGACTCTATTTCCAAACTAAGTGCCCGCATGCTCTCATGCATCCTGCAAAGTGGGCTGACCTGCCTCTCCAACAGCGGCTGTCGAAATATCACAGAGCACTGGCAAAATGATCAAGTAGCAACTCTTCCAAACTGTCACTCTGTGTCTTTTTGTCCTCCTCACTATTAAGGAGTCATTTGGGGATTGTCTCTTATGAAATGTCACCTCCATCGCTATAAGTAACACTGATTTCCTGTCTGTCGGGCTGTGGCTTACTCTTATTTAGATTAGGGATTGGTACCAGGGCAGCCTGATGTTTCTGTGTATATGCTCTGCTTAGTCTCCCTTAGTCTTGGCTAGATGATTATCTCCCCTGTCACCCTAAAATGAGCGCCCTTGAGTAGCAGTGATTGGTCTTTCCATGTCCAAAATTGACTAGTCTGTAAATACAAACTAGTCAGTGGGGAGAACGTGAGCGAATTAATGGGCCTGTAATAAAATAAATAAGATTGCAATGAAGCCCTGAATGTGCTGACCTAATGAGACTACAGTACCGCGCCACCACGGCTCATTTAACCCGTCTTAAGGCCCCATTTGTCCGCCCTCAACCCACCCCTGGTCATAAGTGACGTTGGTTAAACATGTTTCCCCAGAATCATCGTGAGAATGGCCCATTACAACCAGACCACCGAGGAGATAGCCCGTCCCTCAGACCTCCTGGCAGGGTTGAGAGCCTACATAGCCAGCCTGCAAAGTCTCTCCAGCTACATCAACGTGGACGTCACCCGTCTGTTGAAGAACATCCTGCTGCAGCAAACACAGCCGCTGGACGCACGTGGAGGGCAGACAATCACGACCATCTACACAAGCTGGTGTGTGTGTAATACATATCGGTGTGTCAACTGTATGCTACATGCATGTAACAGCTAAGGAACACAAGCATATATTCTTGATTTCTATTTCTTTGTTTCCTGCTTTCTCGGTGCTTTTTGGTCGCGCACTTTCTCTCTTAGATCAAAGACATAAGAAAGCTTTTTTTGAGTGTTGATTTTTCTGCACTTCAGGTTCCTGGAGAGTCTCTTGCGTCAGGCAAGCAACTCCCTCATCGTTCACTGTCCCACGATGCACTGCTTCTTCAACCAGGCCTCTGACAACGAACCAGTTTTCAGAGCAGAGCAGTTTTCAGATATATCAGGTCGGCCAACAGAACATTGCAAATTTTGACTTTCTTCCATAACAAATGTGAAATCATACATATAGCTTACTAAGAAAGTTATAGTTATTCACTGACTTTCATTGCATGTCAAAGTATACGAAATGTAATTCAGATGGCTTTTATCACTCACATGCATGGGTTAGTATCCAAGGCAACAACTCGAACTCTCGGAGGTTACATGATGTACACTACATTCGCTATAATTGTTGTCATGTGGGTGTGATCTGAGAAACATGTCAAGAGCAAAGATGTATCAATAAGACATATTTTTCACCTGCTTTTTGCCGACACAATGCTTTGCAGACAAAAAGGACCCTTTTCCTTTACGGTTTAATGATCACAGGTCCAAAAATCCAAAAAGACACGAGTCACTCTTTTCAGAAATGCCAGATCTCATTCTTATTTCTCACAAGGATCGTGGTGGTGTTTTTTTTCTTAATGCTGCCTGTCATGCATCTTATTCTAACAGTGACTGACTAAAGTAAAGTCCAGCATTGCCTTTCATCTCCCCCGCTCCTATCGTCCTCGCATCGTAACTATTCCGGCATCACTTGTTTCTCCACCACTCGGCCCCACTTTTCTGCCCACGCATGCCTTTTCGGAGCGGTGACCCTGCGGCTGTAAAAATACCTACTCCACAACAGACCTCGGCTCATGCAAACATAATAGAGATGCACACACAGTGCATGGGAGACCACTGCACTCCACGCCCCCACACAATGTCATCATCTCTGTCTATATTTACTTCACGGTGAGGTATCTGTGTGCCTCTCACTGACTCGTTTGCCAATCCACTAACCGCCTCCAATTTTAACCACGCGCATCCTTATCCATCCATATTCAGGCATGTTGAGCTGAGTGAAAGGTCTAATAGCTGCAGTTGTCCGTGATTTAGTTACACTTAAACAAGTAATCCTTCATGTTTTTGTCAGGCAAACAAATAGTGGCGACTGGTTTCTTTTGAATGTTCACAAAAAGAGACCAATTAAAGCTTCTGTTGATTGTAATATTTTGTTTGTCTATCTCGTCTTCTGAGCAGAGCTACAGGCCCTGGCGGAGCTAATTGGTCCATATGGCATGAAGTTTCTGAGTGAAAACATGATGTGGCACATCACCTCTCAAGTCAGTGAGCTGAAGGTACGGATGCAACGGGCTGTTTTCAAGGACGTTGTGTGCTTGGAAGCTACGTTTTATTCTGAAAAACCTGTGTATGAATTTTCAATCAGTTGCTAGTATGCTGTGTCAATCTCACACTTTAACCCTTATGATGGAAGTGAGGAACTGTGAACTTATTGAGCAACAAATCTGTCACCGCCATAACGTCTTTCCTACACAACTCATCACTTATCTTCCTTCTCTTCTCCCAGAAACTGGTGATCGAGAACATGGACACCCTGGTACAGATGAGGAACAACTTTGATAAGCCTGAGGAAATGGCAAATCTTAAGAAAAGGCTGTCAGGTGAGAAGTGGAGAGAAAATATCGAGAGAACAGTGAATTGGGGGTACAGGTGTGTACTGGAGGTGCACAAAGTGAAGACCGTCACAGAGACAGAGGAACAAGAAGCAAAAGAGGAATAACTCTAAGCAGAAATCAGGATTATTTCTTTACTGACTGACATACAATCTTTAGCAGGCCAGCAGCACTTTGCACATCGCTTATTTAATTCAGGCGGACAGGGCAGAAGTTGGAACTAAAAACATCACTTAGAAGTAATGGAATCTTCTCAGTTTCTTTATATCAAAAATCCTTTATAATGTTATCAGCAAGGAGAGAACAGCCCAATTACTCACAAATCATCGTCTTACATTTTTCTGTAAATTAAATTATAACAATGTGTGAGGACACTGAGAGGCAGCAGGAGGAATCACTGTGTGATGAACTGTTGCAGAAATGTGTCTCTTTCCACACATTTAGCCACAGCGTTGTCTCTGCTTTACTGCTTCATACTGCAGGAAACATCTGATTTTTCTTCATATGCACATTTTTAGGTAGCGAGAACGTAATGAAGAGGATGACCATCATCGGGGTGATTCTGTCCTTCAGGTTGATGGCCCAGGACTGTCTGAAAGATGTAATGTCCAATTTCTTTTATAATGATATAAAACTCTTAGATCGCTCTAACCTTCTCTTATAGAGTGAAGGTACATTTGACAAGATCTGATACTTTTAAAATTAAGAGTTAATGATAAATGAGAAAACTCTGCAAGCTGCAGTTGGTAAGTGGATCAAAGTGGAATTTTGGGTCCATGCAAAGCATCTCTGATTTAAGCTTAAGCTTAACCTTACTTAAGCTTAAGCATCTCTTACTTAAGCTCACCAAGTAGCTTTAATATACGAGGGTCTTTACTTCATCATGTATGATCTTGTTTATATTTCATATAATCCTGTGATCTAGATCATGAATAAACATTGTCCATACCTGATCGGGCCAATTGATTGCCTGATGGACTTCATCTCTCCTCAGACCGACATCAAGGTAAAACACAGCTTGCTCACCACATAATGAGAGCTACGCTGTAAGAACAGCGACCGTTTGCTGCAATCCCACAGAGCACTCAAAGTTCAAAGGTTTTACATTTCATGAAGTATTATTCTATTACAATTTATCAACAGTATGTCAACAGTTTGTTTTCACTGCGCTGACCTATTGTGGGAGAATTTATGTTGAAGGCGTATTATTTGACTTGCATTCATCCAAACATATTCACATTTAATCCTTTTGGGGGTTTGACTGATTTCCATCCAGAGTTAAGATTGCAGAATACACTTCAGCGCAACAGAAAGCGCGCAGCAGGGGATATTCTCTTCTAGCCTTCCAAACCCAGTTAAATTCCTTATCTCCCTCTGGAGCTATCTGTGTGAATGTGACTCATGAACTCCTCCTCCCTTACTTACGTCTGGCCTCTGATTGAGGCACGACAGCCGTGCCACAGCCACGGCCGGAATAACCCCAAAGACGTCAGCAGCCCCCTCATGCCTCCGTGAGAGAGACTCTGATCACCGCTGCAGCGCCGCAGTCGAAACCACATCAGTGGAAACATTCTGTCCAGATGCATGGAACAGGAAACAGGGCATCAAAACCTGCGCGTCGTGACAAAGGCACCCGCCGCATTTAGAGTGCCGTTGCACATACAGCATGTCACTTTTTGGGCAGTTTTTAGAATGCAAAGCAGGCTAGTTTAGGCGTTTAGTTGAGTTTAAATAGTGCATCAAATACTAATTGATTTCTTAACTCTTTGTTAGCTGACTTCTATTAATGCTTAGTAACCTTACAGGTGACTCTCGGGGTTTTGGAGCTGGCTTCAGCTGCAGGGTTAAAGTGCAATATTGATCCCGCTCTTGTCGCAGCTATCAGCAACATGCAGACAGGTAACACTCAAATTATCAGTGACACTTGATCTAATGGTTTAGTCATTCGGAATGACGAGTGATTTTTCATTCCTGAATGTTTTCAATGAAAAACCTGCAGATAACATGTCGGTGGACGAGGAGTACAAGCTGTCCTGTCTGCTGCTGGTCTACATCGGCGTGTCCTTGCCTACACTGGCGCTGGACCCCAACTCTGTCTACAGCCGAGAGCACGGAGGTGCACATTAATTCCTCCATTTTTTTTTTTAGACGTTCTGGTCCATACTGACTCCAGCCATTACTTACCAGCCGCTGATGGAATATAAAAAGCTACTCCGCCCTGAATCATTAAGCTTAATAGCATGGCGTGCATCATACTGCCCGGTCCGACTGACGCGGATGCTTAGCGAAGTATGTTTGTTAATGAGGAACACGTTTCTCTTGAGAGGCTTTTGTTTACAGATAAGTTGAGCTGACGTGCATCAATACAGTTTCTCTTGGCATTTGGCCTTGCTTACCCTAAGCGCTTGGCTCACAGCCTGGACAGAAACATTAGGAGCAGCAAATAGCCAAGATTTTTATCAAAGCACAGGGTGGCGTTGAACTCAGATTATTTTCTTTGTCTCTATTTTCCATTGGCACGTTGTAAATAGACTACCCATGTGAGCCAGAGGAAGTACGCTCAATATACTTCCTCTTCCGTTTTACGGATCATTGAGTTAATTTCGCTAATTGTCGGGCCCTAAAAACGAATTCTCCGTGGCCGGGGGGTTAAAGGACGTGCTCCTCTGTTCCTTCCATTTGTCACCGCTGATTTATGTGTTTATTTCCACAGGCCACAATAACAACATCCACTGTTTAGCCACAGCCATAAACCAGCTGGCTGTTGCCATGTTCACCGTTCAGAAGAAGAACATAGAGCAGCAACTCAAAGAGTTTCTCCTGGTAAGTGGCAAGCCTTTCGTTTTTCTTTATAAATGTCTTACTTTTCAAATAAAGAACAATGCTCTCTGCATTGATAGAGGCTTTTTAATTATTTTTTTAATTCAAAGCTGGGTTCTCCTTGATTGATTTTTAAAACAGTTCAGACAGTGGGTCATTATAGTTGTGACAAGCTGCACCGTGATGCTGATTTTATCTTTCACAGAAGAGGCAGGTAATCATGCGATGGAGCAAAGGAAGAAAGCCATAAATGCAACAGTGACTTTGGCCACGGATGTGTGTTTTTTTGCGCATACCACACCAATACTATGACATCATTGCAATTTCAGAGCTTTCTCAAGACATCGCCAACCTTTGCCGGGTTGAGGTTTAGGTCGAGCCCAGCAGTGTAAAGACTTTCCAGTTGTTTGATCTGACTTTTTTGTTATTCCACAGCTGGCCTCCTCCACCCTGCTTCAATTGGGACAGAATGTCGAAAAAATGGAGAGCAAAAACCGAGAGTCGGTCTACCTGCTTCTACACATGGTAGGCCCACGACAATACTGTAATGCATTTACAAACGTATAAAAAATGGGTGTATAATTGACAAATAGGAAAACCTCTGACACTTCATTAGTGTAATTTATGACTTCATACTTAATCTTTAACAGCATTAATGGATAGTCTAAAAAAGAAAATCCTTCTCCTTCTGTTTTGGTAATGGTTGCTTCAAGCTACGGAAATGACTTAAAGAAAACTATATTTTGCTGAGCTCAGACTGTTGTTTTTTATTGGGATTTTCTTACCATAGTCCAGGTGTGGAGTTACTCGATTTAACACTTGTAAAATTGATCCATTCAGATTGTGCAGGAGTCTTCATTCTTGACCCAAGACATGCTGGAGCGCTGCTTCCCGTACGTCCTGCTCCGGAACGCCTACAGGGAGGTGTACAGGACCTCCATCATCACTCTGGGCTGAAGACCGTTCAAGACTTCTAATTTAACATTTATTTATCCAGGATACTTTGTTAAAGTGGATCAATGTCTCCTCTTCTTATCGTTAAGTCTCATACTCATACAGATCTGTTTCTAATTAGTCAACCAGGACATTTGAAAATTCTTCCTCAATTAAGTACCTTTTACTTACAAACTGCTAACTAGACTCACTTTTATGATGCTTATCCGTCCATGTTAAAGCGTAGACCTTTGTTGCATTACTAATATCGGCTTGGTTTGCTCAAATGCATCAGTGCCACGACACAAAGAGAACGTGTTTTAAGAATGACACCTAACTTATTTTGATTTAAGTGGATCACATTATTAGGCTTATTAGTTTGGCTGCCACACTGGAGATCTGGATGTTCACATCTATTTGTGTGCAGCGTGTGTGCTCACTTTTTCAGGACGTAGTGTCGGACGCCTGCAACTCGTCAAGTCTCAAAAAACAACCGCTATACAAACTAAATGGCATTGTTTATTTTCTGTATATTTAATATAATATTTCAATAAAGCCTGTTGTCACGGTGTGGTTCACTTCCTGTCTTATTTTGTAGTTTTCTGCCACTCGTGTCCCCGGGTAACTTCACTTCCTGCCTTGTCCCGTCATCCCCTGTGATCGTCTGATAGTTTCCACCTGTGTCCAATCACCTGCACCTCCCTAGTGTATTTAAGCTGTGTATGTCTCTTGTCACTTGTCGCGTTATTGTTTATTGTCCTGGATGTTCCCTGTAAATTGGATAAAAATACACAATGTCCCTTTTCACCTCTTAAAAAATACCTTTTAAAACAATAGGTCTGATACTTAATTTTCTATACACAAATCTTCCACTTTTTCTTCCCTTTCAGAGTGGGGTCTTATGCGATTCAGTTGATATTTTTCTATTGCTTAAATATGTTTTCTTAAGGGTGTGCCTCTATATTTGGCAACAGTTGTATTTGTTTTGGCACATTTGTAATCTACAGTAAATGATGCTCCTATTTCCTTCATTGCCTCACGTCACCAATTGCTTGGATAATCTGTTGTAATCTTTTGTAAACATAAAGATCTCAATTAAAACGGCAACAATATGCTGCTTTTTTTTTTTTTATGGAATTTTAGGGTCAACTATGCTATTAGTATACTACTACAATACTACTACTACTACAATGAGACCTTTTTGACATAATCCACTATACATTTTATGAGACTGCATAATAAGACTTTTATATGACTTTAACAAACTTTTAAGACTTACTAAAATATGACCTCATTAATGATTTGATGTATGACAGTAAATGTAAACTTTGTGTATGTTTTAGGGCATACTTTCGGTCATATAATGTTATATAATAGGACGTTTTGAATGACACACTATACTATGAGATTTTCATGTCACATTTTTTATCATACATAAGCATATAATACTATAACATGCTTTTTGATATATTCATGGCATTTTATAATTTGGCTTTTCAATGACATATCATACATTAACAATATTTATGGCATACTATACTAGCTATCCTAGTATCAAGGGAATATTCTCCCTCACTGGGGTTCCTCGTGCACAGGTCATCTTGCATCGATATCATCTCGGAGCTGACTGAGCTGCTTCTCCGGCACTTTCAGGAGGACGGAGATGCAAAGTAACCATTTAGACACAGAGCCGGTAATTTGACAGTCCCGATGTCATTCGTGTAACGATGGTTTCGCTTTTCGGGTCCTCGCCTCCCCATCGTCTTGTTATTGTCTATATCTCGGTCTGCTGCTCCTCCCCCGGCACTTTGGATGATTCCCCTGAGAACCAGAGGGATAACGATATTCTGTGGAGGCATATCCAGCATTGAGTGACGTCTTAAAATCCATGGATGATCCTCTGATTCAATGGATCACTACTTAAAATATTCAACACTTATATTCAGAATATTCAGCAAGCAACTTGATGTAAAGTGCACTTTGGTTCTTTTTTTGGGGTATCACCAATCAAAGTTAACATTAAGTATACAAAACCAGCACAAAATGTAGATATCCAACCCTTTCAACGCCACACTAACACTTACTGACCCTGCCAACCTGCCACCATTGTGGTTGTACAGCAAGACATATTTAATGCTCTGCATACAAATGAACAGTGGATCCTGGCCTGAGACCCTGAGGACAGTTAATGGTGGAAACTCTGATCCTGAAATAAGTCCCTCTGCAGACTGTGTTGGGAACACAGGGGCCTCTCCTGACACTTGGCATCACACACACACACACATACAGTACAAACACTGCAGATTGCAGTACAAATACACAGAGGAAAGGACTAGATGTATCTGAGAGAGTAAACACAGAGCAGCGTAGATTAACATAAACTACAGAACTATACACACACGCGTTCAAATAGATGACATATGCTGGATTTACAGTAACACACGGAGGGCACAAGGCTCATTCTGTGTTTCTTTCACACACGCACACAAATGGTTTTCGGCAGCCTTCTGAGCCAAGGGTCATGACACTGGCGTGCAGGATACACAGAACAGCTACTGGACATCTCAGTCTTGTCGCGTGGCGGACCACAATGGAACGGTAAGACTGCCTTCATTGGGTTGCTTTTTATTCTTTACACTTCAAGTTTTCTGTTGGAGTCTCAGGCTGTTGTGGACCATCATCAAGTGAGGTGTCACTGTTGTAACGTGTAGACATACTTTGTTTGGTATCATCAATTACTAATATACAGTGCTTAAGTTGTTGTCTTTTCACAACCGGTTCAACAAAAATTACCGCTTGTTGCTCCTGTGCCGCCACTGATGTCAAATTTTGCAGTTACTTCACACATAAGAGTTAATTTAAGAAACAATATTGAAAACACAGTATTGTAACATTTAGTAGGTAGAGAGTCAGTTCAACCTATATTATAAAAACGTACTGATTGGCCACTTCTTTAGTTAAGATTTTAGCTGAATTTCTTCAAAGTTTCTATCTTAATCACGGTAATGGCATTGTGGTCTAGGAGTTTTTCTTCATTATTGCCACTGGCTGTAAGTTGGCACAGCTGTGCATGGAGCTAAATGGTAGTGCAAGGACTGTAACATGTAACATGCTGCCAATGATAATGCCTACATGATGTTTACAATACCTTATACTTTTACCCTTTTATTTGACATGTTACCATCGCATCAGTAAATAGGCGCTAGATACAAAGAACTTTTTTTTGCATTAGTCTTTTTGACTCATGTTGTTAATTGCGCAATAATTTGGCATTGAGTGAAACCATCACACAAATTAAAAATATGACCAAATGACAGACTTAAGCACAAATAAAAGAGATTTATAGAGAAGGATTTATCTTGAGGGGGATCATATTTCTCCCAAATTTCATGGCAAAGAGCATAAATAGTGGTAGAGATGAGTCAGGACAAAACTGGTGGAATGACCTAGCAACCATCCAATTATTAAGCTAATATTTATATAAATAGATATATATATATATATTGACTTATCTCTAAAGAGACAGTGTCTTGGTTGCTCTGTATGATCCATCCAACACGCTGTTAATGGTGTTTAGGGACCATTTCTTTCACAAGGTTAAATCTATAGGTTAGATGTGTGAAGCAGTGCCAGAATACTCTCTTTAATAAAATCAACATGTTTGACCTGTTATTCAGTTCATCCAAGACAAATTTGAGGTAATAAGCAATTCACCCTTTGACCATTGCATTGATTCCAAAAAAACTTTGACTCGGATCAAATCCATTTGATTCCATTCTGTGCGCCTGTCAGCAGTCTCTCATCTGGTTCCCATGCAGAGACATGTCATATTTTGATGATTTATGGTGTCACATAGTCACATTTCTCTCCCTGAAGTGTAGGGCTTAGTGAGTCATAATGGCCTCATACCACCGAGTGGACAGAGAGAGAGACAGAGATCAGTGGGATCGTCATCATCAGGGGGAGACGAATGGAGAAAAAATAAATAAACCAGTTTAGAGGCTGGCAACAACACAAAGGGGATGCAGTTTTAAGTTTGCAGCTTTGCAAGTGAGACTAGATGAATTACTCTTCTTACATGTTCAGTTGACATCCCAGTTTGGATCCAAGTCCATCAGGAGCTTCATTCAGTGTCACTGATTCTCTTTCTCTTCTACCTTAAAACATTAAACATTCGGATGGAAACAAAACAGCTAAAAGTCACACAGGAGATGGAGAATCATAGGTTGCAATGTTACTCCTCATCGTTTTTGCAATATGTTGAGCCGTGTCAAAGAGCATGGGAGCATGAGAATCAGTCTGACCCAGCAGTCAAAGCAGGACGAGGAAGGAGGTGGGTGGACAGCAGGCAGGGGTTTTCCCATACAAGCCACGTTGTCGCACAGCTCTCACAATACTCTAAAAATAAAGACTATTAATGTGTTCAGGACCCAGAATCATAATAGTGTTTAGGGACGACGTTCATTGTCTCGTCCGATGTTGTAGGTTTGTGTGCATTGCGTTTTCAGGTGTGTTTGTCGACAGAAAAATGCTTTTTTCTCATTATTTTTACTCCCCAGAAAACACTGACCTTTGCCCAGGTAACATTTCAAATAAATATTCTTTGACCCTGCAGTTAGAGGAATTTATATGATCCTGATTATGACTGAGGTTCTGTGCTGCTGATTGTCGCTGCACTTTTTGTATCTTGTACACCATATTTACTTTCTTTTTACAGAAAATATGCTGTGAATAAACTTTGGCACAAACAGATCACAAAAAAAAGAAGCAACCTGTGAAAACATTTACAGAAAATGTGTTTGGACCGTTGTGTGGCTCTTTTCTGTGCAGTGCGCAGCAGTTAACCCACTGAGCTGTTGTGGATCTTTGTTTGTGTACTTTGGTTCGGGTGACTCCGGCGGGTTTGGGTGAAAGACTCTCTGTGTAGTTCCTTAATTTGCGGGCTGCGGTGGAAAATTCTCATTTGGGATTTGAGTACACGCGGCTTGAAAGCCTCGCAGTCAACACTTCATCAGGGAGGGAGGTCACCTCACTCACACTTCACTCAACGGGTGTACACATACACACAAAGACTCCCTCGTTGAGAAAGACTCTCTCTCTCTCTCACTAACACACACACACACACACACACACCGACAAAGTTTGGGCCTGCCTAACCAATCACAGTGAAGGGGAGTCTGTCCCCCCCAGAAGTGGGTGGGAGAGCTGTTGAAACAGAAGTCTGTCTCAGGACGCACAAGTTTGCGTTGGTGGTTTAGAGAACTTTTAAGCTTAGAGCCTCTCTGCAAAATTCTTTCCTTTTTTTTTCTCCTTTTTTTTTTTGTTTTCGTTCTTCGTTGAACTCTGGGGTCCATAAGGGCACAGCTTGAGTGTGGAATGGCTGAACTGGTGCGAATTCGTAAGAAACGCCTGCAGATCCCCATCTCTAGGTAAGACACAGCAGGAGATTATGGCAGATGATATCGTGATCAGATGCCGGCCTTTTCTGTGGCGGCATAAATAAAGCTGGAGGACTTTACCAAACATGCATCAGATGTGACATGTCGGGTGAAATGAGGCGACCTGGAACACATGATGAATGGGAGTTTTCTTGTTTCGCATCAATGGAAATATGTGAGTCAAAATACATCCTGAACAACACAGAGATGAGCGATAACGCAGTCGCACTCTTTCAATTTTTTCATGCGATCGTCGCGAATTTAAAGACTACAATTAGCAGCATGAGAGTAAACACTTATCACCGCGATGGGTTGTTTTAACACCCATCTTCTCATGCCTTTTCTGCGAGAGAAAGACGTGTTGTAGACGTAAAGGGCCATGTGGTTAGATTTTGGTTAACGTTGTTGTCTGCAGAGTTCACACCTTTTTTTGGCCGGAAATTCGAACTTTTCTCTTATCATGAAAGTGTTTCTCATGGTTTTATTCGACATGGGTTTATGTCAGTCTTTACATCCTCAATAGCATTCAAGCAGACAAATGTATTTGTGCTGACAATACTAATACCATTGAAACTCTTCTACATTGCTCTGCAGCAAGTGAAAATTACGTGCAGATTCAACAAAGCCCGGGCCAGAGGAAGATTTGTCATGTCTCTCTATAAACATAGTTTCACAAGTGCACTTGACGAGTAATTTCCTGTAAACGTCCTGTCTAGAGGCTCTTCTACCGTGAACGGCTGGAACCAAAAAGACTGGGTTATCATGAAAGATTACTTCAGATTGCGAGTGAGCGGTGGAACTCAGACGCATGCTTTTTTTATGACTCGACAGCTTTTGAAAGACCCTGCCTGCGTGATAAACACTTGAGATGAGAGCCTCATCCCCTGCCTCATCCCCTGTCTCATCCGCTGCGCTGCACGTTTGAACGCGATCCTTGTGGTCACGTTCTTCTGGAGGACGCACAGCATTCCGACGATTTAATTTCCTCTGAAGGGCTTCAGACAATTTCCCTTTCCAGTTCTGCTATCAGATCAAATGAGTCCCTCCCTTCAAATGACTGTAGAGAAAATACAAATCCAATCAGTGGAAGATTCTACTTCTATAAACCACGGGTGGCATCAGAGCTTTATGATGGTGTGAAAGCTTTTTGATCTGTTTCTCTGATGAGATTACATTAACACGCTGAAGGCATGTGACAGCATTTGCTTTGTATCGTGCTGCGGGATGTTCACTCTGTTCCAACATTTCTATGGTAATTTGATTGTGTCCTTAGACCCAGATCCGAATGGGCCGAAAACTTTAAAACGAAAAAAACCCATCATTTCCTTTGGACCCAAAAGACTTGAAGTGTGTCTTACATAAGATCCCTCTCATGGAAAATCTGGCACAGATTGATGCCCTTTTCTTAGGACAGCTTGGCATTTAAATCGCTTCCAAATGAGCTCTTTCCTTTCAGGAGTATTTCTCAACCTGCTAAAGCACCTCGTTTCACACGCTCGAGACAATGACGAGCGCTGTCGAGTTGCAGAGCTGTGTTCACAAAGATTGTTGCACACAAAGTGCCCGTTTTGCACAAACTGACCTTTCTTTGGAAGTTGTCATTTGTATTGCTAATTCCGGTTGCATCATTATCTAATCATCATTAGAGCACTTTCAAAAGGGCTCATGCCATTTTACTTTACTGTGTTCACGTCTAAATAAATAAGTGCGTGTTCCTTCCAGGCTGAGGAGCATGATCAAGCAGCTGGAGGAGAAAGATGTTGACTTTGAAGAAATCAAAAAGAATCTGGATTTCACAGCGTCGTTACTGGAAGCGGTTTACCTGGATGGAACAAGGTACAACATAGTGGAGCGATACACTGTTGACATTTATTGCCCTTTTTTAGTTCTCACGGTTCAGTACTTTGTATTTGCACAGTAACAACACACACAGCCATAACGCCCCCATAAGCCTTTTCACCAATTGGCATTTCATGAAAAAGTCTGGATCATCTACAATAAAACACAGAATTTCAGGAGAACAGTAATTGTTCTGCTGTTAAACTAATGTGACGTGGTTACACATGTACAAATTGTAAACTGACTAGATGGTATCTTTTAAAAGTACCTTATGGAAAGGTTTCATCGTAATCAGATGGGACTTGTTTCCAGGGAAAAGGTTGAACTCGGTGGTAATTAGAGTGCTGAGAAATGAAGCCAAAGCTGAACTTAATCTCTACTTAAAGACTTAAAACCGCTCATATCTCTGTTCATGACAACGGTACGGGATGAATTTTGATATAACTCGCCCATTTAAATGGTACGAAGAATAACAATGAGGCCTAATTGTGAGCTTGGCTGCTTTGAGTAACTGGTGGTCAATAGCTGCTGTCTTTTTCTGTTCTGTCACTGTTTCCAAAAGCAATCCACTAATGAAATAATCATCAATAAATAGAGCCTGATTTTGAACACAGTTTACCTTTTTTGAGCTTTGAGACAGTCTTTGAGTCACGAGTTTTCACACCGCCGTGCGTCGTCTCGCTCAGGCAGTGTCTGGAGTCCGAGGACGACCTCCAGCAGCTGCAGTCAGACGGCGTGCCGTCAGAGGTCACCGATTGGCTGGCTTCCACCTTCACCCAGAGGGTTCGCCGGCCTCTACGACGCCCAGACGAGAAGCCCAAGTTCCGCAGCATTGTGCACGCAGTGCAGGCTGGGATATTTGTTGAGAGGTTGATCTTCTATTTGTTTATTTGGTCATGTTTATTTTTTTTAAGAGAAGGCCCTTACGGTTTGTTAGGATGTTTGACACTTTTATTTATGAGACCAAACTGATGAAATAAGGAAACTATAATCTCCTGCTGTAAAACTTACGTTGTAAACGACTGATTTCCACATCTGTCCTATAACTCTGATACAAGCTCATGCAGTGTTACTCACATAGCTGGACTGTGAAACATTGGTCGCCTTTTCTCTCAAAAACATCCTTCCAAAGAGGACGGGGATTTACATAAACAGCTCCTGAGACGAGTTAGCTGCACAGTGTCAACACATGAACTTTTACTGAACTCAACATAAACACTGCATTATTTCAGGATGTTCAAGAGGGCTTACACAGCCGCCATGCCAGACGAACCTGCTGCGGTCGTAAACTGCCTCAGGGTAAGCGTCCACTTATCATCCCGTCTCTCCGCGCGCCGCGTGTTTGCGCGACAATCCGCACATCCCAAAAGCCATTGTATAGACATTTACTTCACCCTCCTTCTTTTCAGGACGTCGACCGCTGGAGCTTCGACGTGTTTGCTCTGAATTCCGCCTGCTCTGATCATGCCCTGCGGACTCTGTTCTTTGAGTTGATCACCAGATATGGGCTCAACAGCCGTTTTAAGGTCTTTGGATTTCCTGGCACAGTTTACATATCTAAGAACGTCTGTGTTTTGGAAAACTTTTTTTCCTGTAATATGATCATTTTTCCCTTGTTACAAGCTGTCATGGGAAATGTGTGTTTGCAAGTGCAGATTTAATCAGACATGTGGGTTTCATTATCAATTTGGACCACGGGGATGCCGGGTTATGTGTGTAAATCACATGCATCATACCTTGAACCCGCTCCATCCTAGACTTTATTCCAACCGTTTTCTATTAATAAAACTTAGAAAACTTGGAAACTTGAAACTTTGACTGTGGCTTTCATATCATGAACTTCGCAGATCCCCATATCGTGCCTGACAGAATTCCTGTCGGCATTGGAGAGAGGATACAGCAAACACAACAACCCGTACCACAGCCACGTCCATGCTGCCGATGTCACTCAGACGCTGCACTGCCTGCTTCTGCGCTCCGGACTCGTGGTACACCTGGATACCTTCAAAACTATTTGGGTTATTTGGGTCGCATTTTTAAAGGATGATGCTTGGGAGGGTTGTTGACATGAATAGTACTTAAGTTTTGGTCATTTCCAAGGATTTGTTGACAATAAGAAAGAAGCCTTGTCATCATAATCCAAGTGATTAGGAACTGTTCTTCAACCCAGTACGGTGTGTGCACCCTCTGTTTTGTCCCTTGTCTCTATCAAGCACTGGCTGACAGAGCTTGAGGTGATGGCGTCACTATTTGCTGCGGCCATCCATGACTATGAACACACAGGGACCACAAACAGCTTCCTCATCCACACAAAGTAAGATGCTATTCTGAAACGTATTTTACCAACATGTCATATAAAGCTCTGGCTATATATATATATAAAAATGTTGCAAATATGTCAGGGATTGTTGGACTAGAAAGAGAGTGTTTCTTGGATGCAATTTTAGAAAGTGGGATAAAGAGAGTACCACTAAAGCAAACATTCACGGAGAGAATGCAGTATTTTTAGATGACGATTTTTCACATCGGAGGGCTGAAGACTGCAGTCTCTTGGCACCCATCATCATGCTTTATTTTAGGAAAAAGAACTATCTACACTAAGAACACATGTGGTTGGTTACAGGATCGTAAGTGGGTTTCCTAGAGACTGGAAATACTGGCTGTGGACTTTATGGAGAATATTAGCAGTGGTCAGATTGAATACACGTTGCTTATAATTGATTCCAGAAAAGGTTTCACAGTTTCAAATACACCTTTCAAAGCACTCGTGCAGCAGAATCCCCTTTCCCATCAATCACTGAGCTTTTCACCAAAATATAATTAGATAAATGGCATCATGTTGTACGGCAAGCGGCACCTCAAAGCTCAAAGCTCTGACTTGGAATAGACAAGATTGCATTTAAAGTTTCCATTAATGTCTATTCATTCTATTGACGTTTGTTATGTAATAATAATTAGTGACAGTAAATAAAAAAGAAAATCCTCTCGAAATCAATTTCCATCCATCCATCCATCCATTGTCAAACCGCTTATTTGTTATAAACTAAATAGGTAAAGATGAGATTTGCTTATACATAACCTTTACATTTCCCAAAAGTGTCCTCCAGATGTTTGACTCACAGCTGTTTCTCACAGTAAAGGACAGGTTCTCGGCACTGCTTACGTCTAGCCAATGCCATTTTGCCACTGCTTGTACTGGAAAACGTCATAGATTCTTAATTTAGACCATTTCATTCAATTTATTCAATCACTTGTCTCCCTCAGGGTAAGGATAAATCTTTTCTATTCCTTCCCATGGTAATTACAGCCATAATACATTGTTTATACCAGGACACAATATCCTCCTCGGAAATGAAACATATTTGGAAATTTCGAATCCGTACAATAAAATGTTACTTGAGGGTTTTTATTTTCACTATGAGATTTCATTAAAAACGCATTGTAATCATCATGAATTCAACTGACTGGGAAAAAAAATGAATGAACTTTTAACAGCACCCAGAAGACTACTTCAGCACTAAGCTGCATGTTTTCACAAGCATTTTATTTGTTTGGTTGGACAAAATCTCTAATTGGAAAATCTTTTCACAACGTACTTTGTTATCTAATAATGTAGATTATGCAAATGAGTGGACACAGGATGCCTGATTGAGAAATCAGCTAATTATCTCGCTATAATAAGTCATTAATACCCACATTGTGCTGTTTTTTATAACATCATACTCTTCCACACTTCAAATTCAACATTACAGCCATTTTGCATAAATGATTCCCTGAGGACTTCTCGTCCTCACGTCCTCCTTGCTTCGCCATGGCAACATTCTCCAACTACACCTCAATACATGTCCCACTGTGTAAAGTGCCTTTGTCTTTTGTGTGCTCTCGTCCTCTGCTGCTCCTCCGCTGCATGCGTGCCAGGTCTGAGTTTGCATTGATCTACAACGATCGGTCGGTACAGGAAAGCCACCACCTCAGTGCGGCGTTCCACCTGCTGCAGGACGACCAGATGAACATCTTCACCAATTTGACAAGAGAGGAATGGATGTAAGATCACTATGTTCTAACCATCTTAAATGCTGTTGTTTGTTGTTTTTTTCATTAAGACAAACTTAAGTTGAGTGATTGACTATTTATGGAAAAGAGGTCCTACATGGTTTGTGTGAGGAGATCTGAACCTCCTCGTAACGGAGAAGTAAACATGGAATAGTTTAAGGGCATTCTCATTAAAATGTCACCCTACCGCACTTCTTTCCCCGCATGGTCCGCCAGGCTGTGTAAAAGGGACTTTTGCTAGAAAAGGGACAGAAGGGGTTGTCCTTAAATTAGACTTTCAGTCCTCACCGGCTAAAAAGCCGCTCCCTTAGCTAAACCTGACCTCTGACCTCTTGAGATAAAATGTCTCCTTCAGAAATCAATAGGAGATCCCATTGCATTTTCTGTTTGGTGACTCATCCACTAAACATCCATTGAATAGGGATTGACCCTCAGCATACTTCCCATAACTGTAACAATAACAGACGTCATCGTATTTCGTAATTGTTGATTGATGTCGACATCAGCTCAAATTTTCTCAACGTGTGAGTAAAGAAAATCCATCCCAGCACTGAAGCGCAGTTTGTGAAGAGCAAAATAGATGTGCAAACTGTTATGAAATGTACAATCACGAAGGCTGATGCTAAAAATATCACACATACAGTGTGTGACTTGTGTTTTATTCATGGAGGCGCTCTGCGGACGTCAGCAAACATAAACAGCATGCCGTAGTGGGCTTTTCTGTCAGTCAGCATTACCATGGGAACCAGAAAATCCAAATTCAGAAAAGCTTCCTTCTGACTATTCTGCAGTTACCTCCCACAGAGCAAGATGTGCTTTCGTTTACAGGGAGCTGCGCTCTCTTGTTATAGAGATGGTGCTGTCCACAGACATGTCCTCCCACTTACTGCAAGTCAAAGGGATGAAATCCTGTCTACAACAACAAGAACGGTAACGCTAATTAACTGTTTTTTGGTGCATAAAATCAAACTGTGATTCCGATGACTCCTGACAAAAAGTGCCAGAGAGGCAAATTATTGTCGCAACAGCTGGTGTTCAATCTGCTTCAATCACAGCAGCAGAAACAGGACGCGTATCGTGCTTTTTCCAACAGGATTGACAAGCCAAAGGCGCTGTCTCTGCTGCTCCACACGGCTGACATAAGCCATCCATCCAAGCCCTGGGCACTGCACTCTCGCTGGACCACAGCCCTGATGGAGGAGTTTTTCAGGCAGGTAGGAACTCTACGATGAACCTGCACCGACAGTGTGGCTATTTCCTTCCTTCTCTTATCTATTTCTGAAAGGACTGTCACACTTTCTCTCATATGTTGAACAGGTATTCGGTAATAAGTTACTTAAATATAAATACTAGGAGTCCTTCAATCAAAATTCTGAGTGAAAATACGAAAGTATGATCGACCCAAAGTAGTTAAAGTATCAAAAGTGACAGTGCTAACAACACTGAGTCTTAAAGCGGGTGAAAAAAACATCAAAGAGACAGTCAGAGAGAAAAGACCCTTTGTTCAGGCAGAGAGAGGCCAGGAAACAGACAGTGAAGACACATTACAAGAGGAAGTTATGATGAAGACAACACAAAACAGAATCCAGAACACCAAAACGATGATGTCTGTGACTGATGAAGTATTTTGCTCTCTAGTGTTGTTAAAATCTGTGAGTAGATGGTAAAGTGTTGTGTATTTTTAGTTGGACATCTTTAGTGGCCCAGTAGGTAATTCAACACAAGTGGGGACTCTAGGGCTCGTAAAAGACACCAGAAACTTAAATTCCAGACAAACTAATGGCCATTCCTGGGAATTTGATGTGCCTCCTGCAAATTCCTTTAAATAGACGTCAGCCTGCACCTCCGCTGCAAGTTACAAAGCTTCTTGCTGACAAAAAAACCCCACTTTTAAGGCAATGAAGAAAAATATGAATTTGTTTTTTGGAAAACCTACTAAAATATTTTCAGCCAAATGCCAAATAAACAATGAGAGCTTTGGCTGGAATTGTGAGTACTTCAAATGAGCGGATTTGCTATAAATTCAGCAATGTGTTTCTTCTCTATTCTCTCTGCCAAGATATGGGCTGGAAGAAAGAGAATACAGGGCATCTGTACTTGGTTTGAAAAATAAGAATTGAGAAACCGCTTTCTAAAAAGGATTTGTTTTTGCATTTGAATCAATGAACAATTTCAGCCGTTGAGTGTTGCAGTGAGATAACCTTAGTTATTTTCAGGTGACGTGTGGGATGTTGTTTGAGATATTTCTTCTCTCTCTTTCTATCGTTGTGAGGGTGATAGAGAGGCAGAACTCGGCCTTCCCTTCTCTCCTCTGTGTGACCGAAAAAGCACCTTGGTAGCCGAGTCTCAGATCGGTATGTCTCACAAAACGCTTTCCAACAACCTTCTTCTTCTTCTTTCACTCAATTCTCTTCTCACTGATTTAGTTCCCATCCATACTGATGTCTGGTTACGTCTGGAAAACTAAAGTGGAATATGCGTCGTATTACAACTTTATTACTGTAATCACTGAATTACACTTTCTTAAAAAAAAAAAATCATATATTAACGGCTTAGAAACACGTTATTTCCACATCTTAAAAGGAAAACCGTTTGTCTTACAGGTTTCATCGACTTCATTGTGTACCCTACATTCTCTCTGCTGACGGACATGGCTGAAAAAGTGGTTATACCTTTGGTGGAGGAGAACCCAGGTCCACCAGACCCCTGTAACAGACACAGGTAGCGCTCTGAGGAGGCTCGTACCCTTGTTTGAAATGCGCATTATTTTACGGTGCAGCCACCACGTGATTGTGTCTCTCGGCAGTAATCTGTGGAAGGAGAGCTCCAGGGGTCTCCAGTGGAGTCTCGCTCACATCACAGCGGAGCTGGTGAGCTTCCGCTCCACCTGGACACGACACACCGAAGACAACAAGCTCAAATGGAAGGAGGGGGGCTCCAACGGTATGCTGTGTGTTTGTCATCATACGCGGTTCTACTTAAAAGTAATCTATGTTAAGGAGGGGGGGGGGGGGGGCTGTAATTCTATTCATGTTACATATTATTGTATGTATGTATGTATGTACGAACTTGTTGTACTTTACCGAGGTCACCTTTTTTAACAATTGAGAATCAGAGTGATAACCTATCTAGTTTGACAACATCTGCTGTCAAAGCCCCTCTGCTCCGAAACATGTGACATGTCTCCCAGATGCAACGTGTTACTTGCCACAATTTCACAGTGATCTCAGGAAGACATTAAAAAATACAGATATTACAGATGTTTTCCAATATGTCTTTCAGGATTTTCAGATCCCAGTGTGACAATAGAGCAGACATCCAGTCAAGAGGAGCTGTTAGAAAAATCTCTCCAAGACCCCACTGCACATTCCAAACAGTAGCCAGAAGTTTAACTATCAAGTGCTTCAGAGAAACAAGACTCTCTTCAAACTGGTCTTAATGCTGAGTCACAGTTTGTAAAGAAACCACAATGCCTTCTCATGCGGGGATTTTGGTAGCTGTGAGGGAGGGTGGTTTAATGTTAAATTCATCTTCCCAAGGTAAGATGTACATTCACAGAAATGTCTGTGTGTCTTATTTTAAGGGTAGTATACTCTTATAATTTAAATGCAGTGTACATGCTGGCCATGTTATTCTGCATTGTGCATGTTGTTAATTTAATTTACCACCTAAACACTTTACATTTAATAGTTTTAGCTAAACACAATTCATTTATTCTATAAAACAATAAACGTTAAAAAAATGTAAATGTTTGTCGTTTGATTCATTATAAGGTTGGCCTTGTTGTGATGGGATATTATACCACTTCTGCAAAATGAATTACAAAAGATTCAGTGTCTCATTCAGCAAGCCCATGACTACAACACACAAGTAAATTGTTTTCTGCACAAAACCAAGGTCACATTTTGGACATAGAAGCCCAACTCAAGTCATATTTTTATTTTTCTATTTCATGCTTTCCAGCCTAATTGTGAAATTCAAATGTTATGACTGAAATAAGTGGCGTTTTGGAACTAAAAGAGCTGCTAAATTTGAAAGCTAGAGCACTGATAAAGCACTTAACAATCATGTGTTATGTAGATATAGCGGAGGTGCTTTCATCTGAGCTTCTCTGCGTCTTGCATATGGTCCAATAATTTGTGCATATTTGTGCTCATCGCGTGGTACCCAATGAAAATGCAGTATTGCAAGAATGGCAAAAGGTCTTTTACTTTCAGGGAATCCGGCACCACATCCACCTGCAACATGCTTTATTAGCAGAAACTCTAATGATTCATCTCACACATGCACGTTAAAGTGTCGTTATGGATGTCACATTACCAGTGGATCTAAAATACCAAACAATCCTCTGTATGAAAGATGTATGTGTTCTATGCTCCTGGCTCTGAGTACATTGCATCATTTATTGGCAGAGTACCTATTTTTAGGACGTAGTTAATCTCTACTAAACACGTGCACATGTGCAGTGATGACGGACAAAAGTAGGTCCTTGTTTGTATGCCGTAAACTTTAAATACTTTGGAGCAGTCAACCATGCCTTTAACTTGTTTGGATCAAAAATTCCCTGATAAGTATTAAAGATAAACAAGCAATGACCAATTTAAACATTTTATTGTATGAAACAAATTTAGATTACAGATGTAATCGTCAATCAATTCAAGTAAAATTGGAACAAAACTCTGCAGACTAAATCCATGTAGACTATTACCATTCGGAAAAAGAACAAACATTACATGGTCCATTATTTTACCGCAGAAGAAAAAAATCCAAAGCTTGCACAGGAATGTTTTTATTGTCTTTTTTTGTTCATTGTGGTCATTATTTGGATCAATACTACGGTGTGTTTGTTTTACTGTTTCATTCTGTTTTATTCCTTTCAGGCATGTCAAGTATTAATGTGAAAGTCATGAAAAGATTGTCACAAAATCAAAATAATAATGTCACTTCAGTGGTACAAATAACTGAAAACTGAAATTAAATTAGAATCGCTTCTGGTATTTTGAAAGTTTAATTATGCTAAGATAAGTTCCCCTATAAAATGAAAGCATACTACAGAAAGAGTCACTGTACATTCAGTGCCATGCAGAAAAGTGGTTTATGACCAGCATTTAATTTGCAGAAAAGCATTCAAGTGTTAAAGATTATGGTGTGATTTATACATTTTGGCTATGAGTGTATTACTGTAACCACAATGTACAAATGGCACCTGCACATCATTGATGTATAAGGATATTAGAAGTAATTACTCCCTACTTTCAAGTCCAACTTATATCACTTTCTAGCTTTACCAGAGCAGATTCGCCCTCTGAACTTTAGTTTGGTCCCTCATACAACAAGCGAAACAACAAATGTGTGAGGTTTGCAAGTTCTTAATATATATATATATATATATATATATATATATATATATATATATATATATATATATATATATATATATATATATATATATATATACGAAAAGGCTAGATGTCTTGTCCACTTTGCCGGCCAACCGAGACGAACGTCCGCACATGGCGGCCATCTTGGTACAGTCAGGTCATTGTATAACATTGTGTTGGTAGTGATACATTCATTTTTTAAAAACCAGAACTTTTTCAAACGATTTTAGAAACGGTTTGGTTTGTTATAAATGTCAGAGATGTAGTTATGAGATTGCATACATTCTATGAATAATTATATTATGTCCTAAAAAATAGAATAATGTTCTAAAATAGGTACAAGATTTCCCTTTACAAATATACATCAAGAAATGCTGCATGTTGAAATCCCCACCCTGTACAGAGATGTATTCATACTGCATACTTATGAATAATTATAATTATAACCATGGGTTTTCATACAAAAATAAAATGAAAGAGAACATTATTCATAAGTATGCAGTGTTATAACTACATCTCTGACGTGTATAACAAACCAAACCGTTTAAAATCGGTTGAAAATTAAAGTTATTATTATTTAGTACCACTAACAACACAATTTTATGGATAAGCTCACTGTACCAAGATGGCCGCTATGTGCCATCCGCACTGTACTCCGCCTTAAGACATCTAGCCTTTATGTATATGTCTATGGTTGGAATGATGAGGTTTCTGCTTTGTGCAGAGATGCACAGATTTGGAGTTTTGAAATGTCTATTTTTGTCCAACCAACAGTCGAAACCTCTAACATATTTAATCTAGGAAAGAAAAAATGCTGAATTGACCAATTGTTTCAATCCAGTTAGCTGTCCAATAAAGTAATCAAAACGAACTTTAATATAGTTTTACTTTAAACTGTCAATCAACCAGATGTGTTACCCACTTATTTAGGAATGACTAAAATGATTGGTTTCGGTCCCTGTTTTTTATGAGGTACAGATACAATTGTATTGCTTTGAGATAAAACTTTTTTTTAAGGAGTCATGGCACATCATGACAAACTGTCTAAAACGATTGTGGGTGGAACAGTTTTGAACATCAAGGGGGGCATTGTGCATGTATCCTAAGTAGCGTAGTTTTTGACAACAAATAAGTGTAGAACCCGGCTCTTGTTCTCTGGATGGTAACTGAGGCCTGACTGCAGAAGAACGTCGACGCCCTGATCTACTGTATCAACAAAGTGGATCTGCAGACAAAATTTTCTGTAATGTGTGAGGCTGGCCGAGACAAGCGAGCAGCTTTGTGTTGCTGCTCTACTTCCCTTTCTTCATGCTGCTTTTCTTTGTCTTCTCCTGTGCCGCCTGATTTGGTGTGGACGCTACAGCTTTTGTGTCTGAAAAACATAAACATAAAACACTGAGGCACACTAAGACAATGGGAAGAGGAGGGTTTGATTGTAGATGACAAATGAATAATTAAGAGCACTGCCATTTCAACATTGGTTCTCCAAATGGAGACAGTCTGTGTTGTATTGCTTGGTGTTTAACTATGTAAAAAATAAAGGTACAAATTAATTTATTATTAGGGGTTCAAGCCCAAAGCTTTGATTCTCCCAACAACCCAATGCAGTGTTCATGAGGCTGGAATAAGAGTGATTTTTCTCTGTCAAAACCATAAATTCAAACAGAAAAGTTTAACAGGGAAAAGAGATTTATTTTTTAGTTATTTGACCAAACAGGATGTTTCTCTGCTTGTCAACCAAAATTGTTGACCATTGACCATTTCTAGCTAGAAGCTAAAGTTACTGCAAAAATACCACTAATAAAATGAATAACGTTGTTGAATTACTATTTTACATTAGAAAAAACTGTAATTGAAAGAATGAAAGAATAACTCACAAAAGACGTCTCTCTCTCTCTGTTGTGCAAATGATTAAAAAAAACCTGTGCAAGAGCGTCATGAATCCCATAAGACTTAAGACACAAAAACACATTTTCTCACTTCCGCATGAGATGCCTGAAGGGTATTTCAGCCACTCTCTGAAGACTGCATCAAAGCCAACTTCGCGGATGTTTGTTGACAAGCCATGATTACGTGATGCGGAGTCAAGCCTGTTGAACTGTCAACACTTCTAACAAACCCTGCCTGGTGAACGGGGGGAGGGGACGAGGAGTTCCACTGAGGGAACAGGCCTCCTCTGACTCTACCTGGTTGTGCGTTGTTTTGTTGCGTCGAGGGATCTGCTACGCTGGCAACGCCGGAGCGATCCTCACCCTCCTTGGTGAGGGGACACTCGAGTCCGCCGGCAGCTTCTAATAGACTCTCCCTTGAGAACTCTGCAGGGGGCCGGAGGGACAAATGGAGGTTGAACTGAAGGTGACGAAGAGCAAGCATAGACTATAAACACTTTCCGTCAGACAGCAGTGCGGATTCAATACGCTCTTCTCTGTCTAATTATGTGAGTGCACAGAACCGAAGGACACCAACAATTGCACAACATTTACATCTGCATGTATTCTAGTCAAAAGGCAGATTTTACAGTAAAGGCAACCTCCACTGGACTAGTTTTAACGGTCATGGATTTGTTTACCCCGGCTTCCCCTTTTGCTCCTTTCATCTGTACTCAGAACTTATTGGCAGCTCCTTCATATCATGGGAGCGATCCATAAAAAACATAGTTATCTCATTACACTGGGGTATGTTTTTGTTGTTGAGCCTCAGGGGATTCAACTGAAAACAGATAACAATAACAACTAGAATAGAACGTCGTATTCACACAAACACGACGGACGTGAAATCTGAGTGACCTTTAACCTCCTAAATCGAATCAGTTCATCGTTGAATTCAGGTGGACGTTTGTGCCAAATTTAATTAAAATCATTGTGTTGACGAGAATAGAACAGACAAATGCTGAAAAATGAAGTCCTCAGGCAACAGCTATTTCCAATAAAAAAATGAATAAATAAAAGCAGCCCTCGTTTTACATAAGCGCATTACTGAGTCTGTGCGCAGTATCTGCTGTACTCAGTACCTTTCTACTCACTTGCCCTTAAAGGCAATTATTTGGCCTCAGCTGAAATGCTGATTCGCATTTATTTTCTCATCAGCTGTTGGGGTCTTTGGTTCTGACAGGAGGCTGCCAAGGTGGCACTTTGAACCGAGTGTTTTCATTAAATGAATGGTTCACTTACACACTTTCCGGCAGAGAGTTATACGGGAAGGTCGATAGCACTCTCGTGTCCGTACACTTAATATGAACTCAACTCAGAGAGGGAAATCAAGCCTATCACAGTACAGGAAAAAAGAAATTCCTCTGAAATTCAATAGTAAATGTTTTTATTGAATAAAATAATAACTGGTAGCGTCAATATTTTGTGCGTAAGATACAAATGTCAGAACGTATCAAATTGTGGGCAAAAGCCTCTACTGAAAAGGTTGTGTTCACTTTGAATCTAAATCCGTCCTCAATAATAATTGCTAAAAAAAAATCATGTCTTTATCCTTCTTTGTGTTTAAAGTTTCATAGCAGCTTGTGCGAGCATACCCTCCATTTGGCAGCGCAGTTTCTCAAAGGCCTCTGCGGTGGCCTCGTCATCGTGCGGGAGCTCCTCCCCGGTGGGGAAGGAGTCGGGGCTGGGGCGGTCCGACAGGCAGCTCTCCGAGGAGCACTCGTCCCCGGCACCCTGCTGCTGCCTGTACAGGTGATGCTCTACCATGAACTGAAGCTCTGGGGGCAGATGGGAAATGAAGGAGGAGACTCAATGAAATCCACTTCAAAAGAATATTGTAGGTTAAGCATTTTTAATGAACTAGCGATATAATCCACAGCCAGTCGGGTTTGAAGTGAGGTTTGTTTAATTGCTTTCTTCACCTTCCTCAATCCACATTTCTATTACTGTCGATTGCCCTGCAGTGGGAAACTAAAGCACACCGATTAGTGCCGTGTTCTATGAAGAAGCAACTCAACTGTGGAACTAATTTAAGAATAAACCTCGTGGCACAATATTATGTTCTCATTATTCTTCCCTTTCTTAGATGTCTTTTTGAAAGTCATTCACACAATATGTATTTATGTTGTATTGGATGTTGACATTTAACACATTATTTAATTACGTGGCGTTGATAAAAAGTTCAGGTTTTGTGACATCTGACTTCATTGGCTTTGTCACATTAAAGGTCAGGTTGGGATTTTTACACTTAGTCTTAAAACAACACTGATGGTCCATATGTACAGCATGTTAAAACATATTTAGTCTCTCTTGAAATGGAACAGTTAAGCAAAGAACTCTTCAGATAACGTATGAAACTTTCCCTTTGTGTTTCCCTTCACTGTTAAACTAGTTAAATGAATTATAGAGAACAATTTAAAGCAAGCAACTGTCTCAATGCAAATATTGATGGGCGATGGATCACCTTTCATTGTAGGTGTTCCCTTCGGCCCTTTTCGCCGTTGTCGAGGGGAGTTCAACAAGGCAGCCTGCAAAACATCAATGTTTCTTGTCAACTGGGCAGAGAGCACGAAGATGGAGGAGATTTTAAAAAGCAAGAACAGAACAGCGTCATTTCTGTAATCTTATTCAGATAAAAAGCCTTTATTAAATTACCTTATACAACTGGTTTGGGAGCCGATCTTCATCTATTTCTGCGAGAGAGCAAATACACAGTTACGTACAACACACAATAAAACAATTGAAATAAAGGACAAAATGATCAGCAAATACACAGTTACGTACAACACACAATAAAACAATTGAAATAAAGGACAAAATGATCAGGCGAACGTTGTACAGCCTTGAGACTGTTCATATAGCACAGATGACCTCATCCGTATGTTGGTGTATCGGGGCTGCTGCCGTGTCTCAACACGCCAGTAATACAAGGTGACCTCGGCCCAGATGCTTTTCTGACACACTACGAGCCACATGCCAGCGTTTGCTCAATTCATTTTTTATTAAGCTTGGTGGGACAAACAGTTCTTCTTCTTTTTGCAAACAAAAGGGACGATAATCCACTCTCATCTTCTTCCTAATAGATCCCTGCACGCAGGCAACTGCTGACTGTATAAACAGTAAAACACTGTTTATCCTGAACCCCCTTAAGGGAAGTGAGTGTGTAGCACGCGAAAGTGCAGTCTGGAGCTCAGTCGATTTACAATCAGTTTTGATACATCCCGCTAATGCTACTGCAGTCTACAGTGAAACTCAACAGTCCTGCAGTAATTCCTACATCTGTGTGGTGCTTCTAACGCATTCAGGAAAACAAGAGAACTCATGTGAAGCTCATGTGACTCCAACTGGATTAAGATTGATCGCATGTAGTCGGTATTTGAAACCGGACTCTGTGGTCACTAAATGAAAGGACTGAAATAGAAACCAAAAGACTGTATAGTACGATATGGTAAAACCCTTAACTGTGATCAATAACGATTGCTTGTAACCCGTATCCACCGTGTTTCCAGCTTTGGAACTTTTTTCTAGAACACCACCTTGTTGCTTGGCAACCTATGCATCCCTAGATACTGGGAAGGCACTGTGTGCGTGTGTGTGTGGGGGTGTGTGTGTGAGCATATATTATTTCTACTTAAAAGGATGCACTAAGCTGTTAAAAATGCCACTGATGTACTTGTTTCTTTAGTAATCTCTCTCTCTCTCTCTCTCTGCAACAAACAAAGTCATTCATCAGTGGCGAATAAAAACCTCACACAAATGCCGTAAAAATTAATTTCAAGAGGGATTTCACTTTTTGCTGTGCGTGTCTACAGTGATGCTTGAAACAGAATCTTATTCACAGCGTCTCCCAGGAGTTGGAGAAGGTTCCCACAATAATTATGGATTTTGTAACAAATCAATCGCAGGGAATATGCAGTCTTGAAATGTTCTGTAAGTTACAGGGCAAAGCTTAAATAATTAATAACTGGTATTGACAAACAGCTGTCAAGTTATCGCAGTCTGAAAATTGACTTTTATGCCAAAAGTTTAACCTTAAAGATTGTGTGCAGCTCTGAAAAAGTTCCAAAAATGTGTGCAAAAAGAGATAGTGTATATCTTAAGTCTATCTTAAGTCTAAACTTTTATGAGGTAGTTTTCACACGGGTGAACCTATGAAATCATCTTGGGATGTTTGGAAGGTTTTCTCCACTGTGTAGCTTTTATACCGGGATATATTGCAAAACAATGTGTGATTGGTTTATGTGTAACAAAGACCTCTTGTTTCGGCCCACAACCCCTTTAGTCCCTGAAACAATCTGCTTTTGCACTTTTACATATTATTTTGTTGCTGCTAAAGAGATTTTTTTTTATATAATATTAGTCTAACTTAAAGACCAAAAATAAAATCTAAATAATTTTTACCTATAAATAAATAAAATACTCCAGTGATGGTGGCAGCTTTGAATGCAGAATTGTTGCATCTTAATTTAAGAAGATCTGCAGAGTAAAGTAGATGGGGTTTTGTTATAATAAAAATTGGTTCATAGTATTGATTTCTATTCAAGAACAGGGAGTGGCTTTGTTTGAGTAAAACACATCTAAAACACATTGTGAGTAGCAGCAGTAGCAGCATGAGTATTCCTCGTTTAAACATCAACAAACATAAAATATGTCTTTTACTCGGCTCATATTGACATTTCTCTCTCTGCATATGGAGCCCATCTGTGGTGCAGAATGATAAAAAGGGGCCAATAAAAAGGGCCGTTCCAGCAGTGATGAGTTTATCGCTGCAACTCTCAGAAGACAGGCTGTCTGACACAAAGCCAGACGGGACGGTCTTCTGTCTCCACTTTATTCAGCCGAGCGGCTCTAATTTGGCTGCTGCCAATTTCTATTTTCTGTGCTGCATCTGATGAAGAAAAATGGGAAAATCAAGGATACGCCTGCAGTGTGGTCATTTGTGCATCTAAGAGGTTTTTTATCTTCCCAAAAATCCATTAATTTACAGGAACACTCTTGCAAGGAATTCTTATCAGCTATGACCTGTCGCAGCACAAATTCACATTTCTTGAGAAGATGTTTATTTAAAAGAAACTGAAGCTTATTCTTTACAATATTAGCAGCAGCCGGGCTAGCTGAGCATGAACAACCAACCCCAATGCTCATAAGTATCGGTTCAATTGATTTTGTACCACCAATATCACATATTTTCAAATTTACGTCAGAGGGCTTTACGATCTGCATGAATGCGACATCCTCCGTCCCGGGAACCTTCTCATCGGCAATGGGGAGAAAAATAAAGAAACCCAAGGGAGAGCGGCCAGAAGTGCAATAGATTTAGATTTACAACACAATGTTGAAATCATCTTGTTTGAAGGGCGCTACGTATTGTGTTTTAAGTGAGATTTGTGTATTTTTCCTCGGCTGTTTTAAATGTAGTAGTTAGCTCCATTAATAGTGCATCCTAATGTTTAGTAGATGAACATCTCCCTGCTAGTGGCATTATGTTCATCTCCCATCCCTGCCAGGAAGAGATAGCGTGCAACTGTGTGTCTGTCGGAGGCAGATCTCACATTCTGCTGGAGCCAACTGGGAAGTATGTTGGGTACCCACTAATGACCAGCATGCCAAAGGACCTCTCATGGTTTTTATGTAGAAGACAATCTTTTTATGTAATAAAATAATTAATTTGAGTATTCAGTGTTGGTCGAACGCTATTTTATTTGACTCAAGTTGTCTCTTTGTCTCTCTCCAGGAATCAATAATCGTCTCCTTTCTGCGTCTGAGTTGTCTGCACATCTGTGGCGGCGCCCTCTGATGTGCTGTCGGGGTTCACAGTGCACAGGGCAGAGCGATCTGCAGAGCATTTAATAATGCAGCGCTCTTTCTGCTGTGGGGCACAACATCACTGCGCAAGTACAAATCCTCTACCTCATCGTCGTCACATCCAACCCCCCCCCCCCCCCCCCCTCACAAACCCCCCACTGCGGCTCCGCCCATCTCTGGCACATCCTCGTTTCCACACACTCATAACCGTCTGATTCTCTGTTTGTGGCCCTGTGTCCGATCTGGTGATTTGAGTTGTTTCTTTTTATTGTATTTTCCATGGCATCTCAGAATTCCTCATTTTGAGGACACAAACATATGAATACAGCACTGTGAGATTAAATACAAGAAAATAAAAGGTTTCACGACTCTTTTCACCGCCCTGATGAGGGCATCAACGGGTAAAGTGTCAAAAAAGATGAACAAAGTGGCCTAATATGTCAGAAACAACACGCTTCCTCTTTTCCTTAAATCATATTTACTATTATTCAGTTGCTTTCATCCCCATGCCTTCACTTCACTTGTGATTTCACTACTGAATGAGTCTCTACTCCACTACTTCCTTTCTTCTTGCCTCTGATCTACTGAACAGGACGGATTGTTGAAGGTTTCCTCTGCAATTTCATTCAGAGATCAAGGTTAACGCTGAGACGCGCTGCATGCTCCGTATCCAATTAGTGAGCAAAAACAAAGACACGTGTAATCAAACACAGAGACACGTGTCAAGCAAAGAGATCACAGGGAAACACTCTGTGAAAACGCTGATCTCCAAGAGTGAAGAGCTGTGAGTTAAGTAACGTGGCAATCTCTGCTGGCATCTCGCGTGACGCATCGACTCTTCATTCATTGTTGTTGTTTTCTCACCTGGAGAAAATGACGCTGGTCGCCTTACGTTCTCAGCCGATCATCTTTTAATCTGGGTCGCGTTAAACACTTTCACATCAAAGTGCAGCAGAGGCAGTGCGGGAAGAAAGCAGCCAGTGGATGACTCACAGAATGGGACAACGCTCTAAGAGGAGCAGTGTTGTGTTTGATCATTAGGCTCCCTCGAGAGGACACAAACACATACAGCGGTATTTGTTGCTCCGTTGTAGTAGGAAAATTCACTTGGTGCAAAATATACTTTAGATGCTGCAATCACAGCAATCAAAATAAGAATTGAATCGTTCTTAAAGAATGTTGTGACTATGGTAACTTGCTATTATGTGGTCAGGTATCTAGGTTTTGTAGTCGTGTCAATCTTTTCTGTTGATTACGATTCCTCTGTACTCACACAAACAACTCAGACAGGGCAGGAAACACCAGCAGTGAAACAGAAAATCTGTCACTGCAAAAAGGGTTTTTTAAATGACTGGAACACAACGTTGACTCATCTCAATGTCCGAACACCAAAGATCACCGGTTATTCTACAGCGGTGCAGCGTTGACGAGTCACTTTGATACTAGACTGAAACCCCTGAAGCCAGCTGCACCTGCAGGTTTCATTTAGCCATCATCATGTAGCCATTTCTTCTACCTGTGTCCTTAGGCGTCAGTAAATAACTCGGTGAGTTCCATTACCTAATAAATGTCGGCCAAAACTACGAATACAAGACACCAAGACTTAATAAAAAGGAATAATCAATGACTCTTCTGGTGACCCCCAAGATACAGATAACAGATACACTGCGTGTTTGCGTTAAAGTGCCTTACCAGGGGATGATTGATCACTGGATGCCACTAACGTAGCAGGTGTCGGTCTGCGTCTTCTGATCTGAAAAAGTAGAAGAGTTTAATTCTAAAGCAAATAAAAAACATGTCCCATTAAGCAGCTTTGTGAAGACAACAAATCATCTCAAAACCTCCATTTTGATGGTTGTTGTTGAAAAACGATGCGTTTTTAATTAAAATAAAGAATTCGACACTGTATTCCTCAACCAATCAGGGAGAGACTAGCTCTGCTTCTCCTTAGTAACGGTCAGCATCCCCTTCCTCCCACGATGCTGGCAGCCTGTGTGATCCATATTTTGGATTCGGTTTACTCTGCAGTGAGATGAGCAGGGCAGTCTGCCACCTCCTTGCTTCTTGGCTAATGACTAGTGGAGTGTGGCAGCTATACGGACCAATTCTGGGATGGTACTTTAAAGAACGCGCACATTTTCACTGAGCTGTGCAGCAGAGACCAAACATATTGTGTAAGTGTTAGAAAGATCCGCCTGTAGAGATAACAACTACAGTTAAAACCGCTGTTATTTTTAAGTGTCCACTAGAGTCCAACCATAAGATCGGGAGAAATGGACGGGTTCGATGGTGAATGATAAATGGACTGCGCTGTTGTAACGCCACACGCTTCTCAAAATATGAAATGAAATGCATCTCTATCTGCAGAAGTATGAGACCACAGCTTTTGTGGGAAAAAATGAGGGATTCATTTTCTGTCGCCTCCAGGATCAGGTGATTGCTTTTAAATTGTATCACTCGATAAAACTATAAAGGCAACGATATGGGAGTTTAAATTGAGCCAATTGCAGACACGCATCCCTCCCCCCCCCACACACACACACACACACTCACTAAAGCACTCCTCTTACGTGGCTGACAGGGCTGCTGACTAATGATGGAAGGTGAGCAAGCTCCCTCACTCCTGCGTCCTTTCTTAATGCTGGTTGTGCACTTAAAAAGCTGTGTAGTCTTCTTCAGCCGGCCAGCAATAACCTCGCGCTGCACAGTGGAGCATCACATGGTGTTTTGTGTGACAGTTTAAATGAGCCAGTTGTTAAACTCACTGTGCATTCACAGTTAAAAGAAAATAGGGGAATCAGAAAGTGAATGCCGGTAGTTGCCCTTGAATCCTATTTTCAGGATTGACTATGAGGCTTTGCGGTGTTCAACAAAATGTGGCACTAAATTATTAAAAAACATCTTCTTTTGACAGAATACAGATGTAGCTGCAGAAGAAACCCGCAGTGATGAAAAGGGAGCAGCCAGTGGTAATTCGTTCTAATTAGGCATTCAGATTTTAAGAGGCTTCATCTTCATTACCTTTCAAATCACAACCATGGAGTTCACTAAGGCTCAGCGGAGAAGAAGAGGCATAAAATGTCTTTCTTTTCAGTGCCAAGCAATCAGTAATCTTGTAAAGCTTTTTAGACTTTTCCAAGAGATGAATGTCAACCTTTCAGCGTAACCTTCCTGTGCCACAGCTCCTTTGATATCTGTATTTCTCACTAACGTCAATGACTCCACGGTGATGTGTTCGTGTGTTCTGTGTCAGGGCCGACATGAAGGGTAGATTTATCCCTGAACGAAACAATCCAATGTTCAATCGCTCTAGCTACTGATGTTTCTTTATGTACCCACAAAAGGTATACGACATGCGTGGTATGACAAGCTGAGGTACTAAATTGCCACCATTGTTCTCCTTTCGGTCTCCAAGTTGGAATGTGACTTAATTTTTCTTTTTAGAAGTGGTCACTCTTTTGACAAAAGGTAATGAAAATGAAAATGAAGCAAAATACAGGTCTCAGGTTGCATCAGAGTGATGGCAGTTTCAGAATTGCAACTGCAACAAAATACTTACAAAAATATAAAAAAGAACCATAATATCTTTGATTGTTGAACAAAGTTAGTTATTTTTACATGAACATCTTTTTAGAACCGATGTCTAAATGATTGCAAACGTTTCTTTCAGCTAAGTCTGAAATCTTGAATGAGATGTTTAGGTCTGCCCCTTTGGGACAAGTCAACATCTGTGCAGAGTTTCAAATCACATCCAACTATAAGTTCTGCCTCTTATTACTTTTTCCTGCTTTAATATTTAACAGTTGGAATATGTGATTTGTTTTGTGTATTTCTGTCTAATGGGGACTCAGTTTTTGAATAAAGATGCCAAGATGTATCCAGTACTTTCATATTCTCTGAAACCATGTCCTCATATTTCAGCCTTGATGTGTGTCTTATGTTATCGTCCCAGAAAACTCCCCTCCCGGCCCACGTTAGAGCGAAACGTAGAACGGATTATGCCAGAGTCATTGTTATTCTCCTCACCCGGCAGGAAAGCAAACTCCCTGATCCTTCGCTGGCAGAAAATACCGGCGCTTATTGGACGGGGCTCTTCCCTCAAAGCATCGTGCCCGCTTCTCCTCTAACGGTCCATTTAAAATGCAGTTCTGTCACTTCTCACAACAATGAACAAAAACAGCCTTCAAAAAGTGATGGGTGGGCAGGAAAAGCCGTGCATGCCTGATGTCCTTGTGTGAGGGCGCCAGACGAAATGGACTTGGCTGCAAATATAGGTCAGGCAAAAAGAGCAGCAGAGACAAAGTCCAGATTTAAATTTTAACGCTTGTGTTTAGTTGACATTGGCTTTGCTTCAACTTGTTCCAAAAACGAATAATTGCAAAATCATTTCTCAAATAATTTTATTTCCCTCTGAACTCGTTAAAACCCAATGAGTAGGAAACCGCTCAAGTGTAACACTTCAATTTGCCGCCAACTGAACTTACATTAGTTACACAGTACATTAGATGAAAGCAACAAAGTGTGACCACAAAACATTGTTGTTGTTGTTGTGACAAAAAAAGGAAAAAACACCGTTATGTGTTAAGCAAACGAGTTAAGCATCGCGTGACATTCTGCATTTTTAACCCTGCTTTCTGTGCAACATTCTACAACCTCAACAGCAGAGATTGAAATCTGGATGATTTTTAAAAATGTCAAACAACTACACAACTGCTGTATGAGCAGACAAATAGGATTTCAAATAAGATCGAATAGGATTTCATATGATCTTTTTTTTTTTTTGAAACAGAATGAGGATGTTCACCCTTTTATTTAAAAAAAAAAGAATTTTAAGATGAAAATAGTATCCTTCATTGTGGGGTTCAATGCATCTGTTAGACCTCCTTTAAATAAACTAATAAGAATAATCACAGATGTGGAGCAGATGATTTACCTTCAGTATATTTAGCAGCCAGAGACTGAGACCCCAAATAGAAGTATTAATCTTTTTTATACGACTTTTGAAATACGGCAACCTTTCTAAAGCATGTATCAGAGCAAAATGTGCCATCGAAATGCATACAAATGCTGGTGCTTTCTTAAAATGTAAATTTAAAACGCCATTTCCTTTATTTAGCTGAGGGAAACTTGATAGTCACGTGACCTAGTTTCAAGGCAATGTACTGTAAGTGAATAGGCCAAATAAAATGTAGTATTGTCATAATTTTGGGGGGCAAATTGTGACAATACTACGTTTTCCCTTGTGGACCAACGCAGCTATTACACATTTTGCTGTGAGACTGGGTTGAACATGTTTTAGTATAGAACACATTTGACCTTGGGAACTCTTTTCTTATCCAGGAATAACCAAACTCACAACTAATTGGGGTGACGGAGGTCGCAAAAAAAGGATTTTAATTGAAATTCTATTGAAATTCTACAACCTCTTTCCTCCTGATTCTCCTTTGAGTGAAACTAGCGGGTTTGTATCAGAGTTGCCTTGTGACCTTCACCCAAACAATGCGTTTGCAACAGTCAGTGTCGTGGATCAGAAAAGTTGCATTCACGTCCAGTTTTTTGTTAAAGTTCAAAGCTTTGCCAGCACTTCATCGTCATTGTGTCGCGTCACAGGACACAAATGCAGTACAAGGCACTGACCAGCATTCATGCGATTCCTCGTCCTGTCATTTGAAATACGATCTCTGTGTTTTCCAAGTTAAAATCAGAGCTCAGCCATTATAAAGCCTCACAGACTCTCTCCGACTGTGGTCTCCTTCGGCTCTGAATAGAGAGAATTACGGTATTCAGAGCACATTGAAACCCCAGTTCAATGACTTCTTCTTTCTTTTATCTCGGTTTCTTTAGTCCTTTTGCCTCCCTCTCACTTCCTATCAATCCTCTGCCTTCTCCATTGTAACAGCCCTCTTATCATCCTCTCTTTTGTTGCATATCACACAACCAGCTGCACGGTTGAATGTGATGCACAAGCTGCAATTTTATTGCTGTAATAATATATTTTTTGCTGAGAATCACAGAAAGCGAAGCGTAGCAGTTTATCATTAAACGCAAATTTAGAGCAATGACAGCGTAATGTTCTGTTTTCAATGCAGCGTGTTTCGTCTCTTAGATAATGTCCTTCCTGAGTGCGTACAAAGTATTTATTAGATTCTAGATTCTGTCAAGGACAATAATAGTCTGACACGTCTTCATCAACAACATTAGGGACGACACCATCAACCCTGAAATTAAAGGACATAACCTTAATATGTCACAATTCATCATCTCATCAACCAAGAATGTAAATTTCCCAAGCGAGGGCCCTTCACAAGACAACGATTTCAGTTCAATATCGAACCTCTGTTGGAAGGGGATTAGAATGTGAATTGTAACATTGTCAAGAAGAAACTTAATTTAGAGTTAAATCTGCTATATTAATCATGCATACTCTATTAACAACCTTCACATAGGATTATAACATTGTGCCAACATGGTTAGGTCTTTAATGGCGCGTGTGTATTCGCTGATCCATCCGTGTAGGTTGAATATAATGTCGACATCGGTTTAAGACTACAGCAGCCAGTTAATGCGGCTTGGCAACAATAACTGGAAACAGGGTTAAAAAAAACTTGACATGTCCACAACATGCACGGTTCCCTCAAACCCTGGAAAACGCCAGTATGTATTCAATAAAACTTCAACGGAGCCTTTATTGGCCTCTATTGCGTCATTTTAAAGCATAAGTTGAAATATATACTCCACACATTCCCTTTGTCGATGAGAGTTGCTTGAAAAGATTGATATGACTCAGAAATATGTGTGTTTAATGTAAAGCAGGATCCAGGCCATTGGTAAATTAGCTTTGTATAAAGACTGTTAGCGGGTAAGCTAACCTCTGTTTAAAGATAATATCTGTCAGTACAGCACTTCCAAAGCTGCAGCTTTCATTTGTTTAAAATGTAAAAAAAACAACTTTGGACTGGTGAGCTGTCATACTGGAGTCTGTTCATATGTTTGCCAGACTAAACAAAAGCTTTGTATCTTCTCGATAGTTTTCTACTCAACGGACTGAGAGAGATTGGCCTTGGTACGTATGTCCCAAAATGTCAAATCAGTCAAAGCACAAAGGAAGCTGCTTTAAAACACAACATTTGGTGAGAGGGGAATATCTACATGACTGATGGGAAAGCATCTTAGCGAAAGCGCTATCCTCTGTCCCCATCAGGCACAGTCAGTTTGTGCTCGTGAGTACGCAGTGAGCTCTAGCGTGACGTCATCGTGATAAAGGTGGGACACATTGTATCCTGCTGCAGAGAGCAGGATGAACGCACGCTGTTTGTGAGCGTCCGACCTCGGTGGAGGCTGTTCTGAGTGACGAGTCAGTCTCCACGGAGACTGATTCACTACGTTGGGGGGGGGACCGGTTCCAGAGATCAATGAACCGTGGGTGAGACGGCCCCTGGTGGGATTCATCAGCAAGGGTGTAAAGAAAAGCACAACCAAAGAATCCTTCCTTTTCTTCACATGTTCTTCACATCACAGCTGTCTGTCAAATATACACATAAAACCACTTAAGAAGATGCTGTGAAGGCTCATTAGTTTTTAGGTATATTCTGAAAGGATAAAGTCTCAATGGGCGATCACTGACGCTTCAGCAATGCTTATTGAGACCGACAGCAAAGAGCTGTCTTGAGTCTTACAGCTAAAAGATGTGTCTGCTGGTGAAGAAGAGAAGGTGAACTGCAGGCTGGGACAGGTTTAAGATCCTGTACTGACCGGCTGCAGCCTGGGATCAGACCTGTGGCTCAATACACGCAGTGGACACCGACTCCACCACATGCAGACCTGAGTACTTTGAAATGCTTCTGTGTTTTTCAGACGACGTGCAGAGAACAAGAAGAAGTGTCAGCTTCTTACAAATATACCACAGGCACCAATTTACAGACACAGTGCCCTTTATATCAATTACACACGTAATGATGCTTCTTACCTCAAACAATAATATAATCAAACCACATTGGCACAAACCAATAAGCTTAGATAATGATGCTATCCAAACCTCTATGCACGTCAGCTGGCAGTTCTATTAAATTCATAATCCTGACCTTTCAGTCCTGGTTGATTTGGTAACCGTAACCATTATGTAAATACAAAGGCTATGGCTGAAAATAATGCTCGCCATAAATAGATGCCATAAATAGATGCCATAAATAGATGCCATAAATCGTGCGTTGGATTACCATTTGAAAAGTTCAAATTCAACTCCAAAATGATCGACATTTAAGTCAAGATTTGTCATTTATCTTGAAAAAGCGACACAGGGGATTTGTATTTAACTAAATATGAGCCTTCTAAAACTGTTGACCTTTTCCACATCTGACTTCATTGACATGCCCTAGCAGGAAAAGCACATCCGTGTGATGGACAACATTAATAACTGTGACACTCTAGCTAAGTGAGTTTTGTGCAGGGCATTGGTGGGCTGTGCACGCTGGCTCACTGTCATGGCGCACTGGGACACTCGATGGGACGCAGCCAGCGTTAATGAAATGTCTTTCACCTGTTTCAAAATGTCTGCTGAGTAAATGGGATTGAAACAGCATCCTCTGCTTCTACATCCATCCATTACCCATAATCGTGTTATCCTTCCACAGTGTGCAGAGAAGCCTGAGGAAACCCACGCTAGAAGCCACGCCCCCTTTGCTGCCACGACACCACCGGGGAGCCTCTGTGGTTAAGTTAGAGTGGTTTTCCTTCAGACATTTAAGTTGTTCTTGAAGTTTGTTAAATCCTATTTCATTCAAACTGCTTCAGTGGTCTTTTTATAGTTTAAAATTACAAACCACAATGAATGACGCAAAGAGTCTTTGTGCATTCAATCTGTCGTCGTTTCTATGTGATGCAGAGAAGGTCGTCATGGAGTGTGATGGTCTGAACATTCAGTTCCTCACGTCTTCACCACCACAGCCGCTCTACCTCATCGTATGGCCGTGTACACAAACAATCCAATGATACATACGCTCACAAGGCATTTCTCACACACAATAGCAGTCACCCTGTCTCGTATCTAATAGTCACAGTGGTAGAGAGAGGCATATTAACAAGTAGTGTAGTCAGACTCGTAGATCTTTGCTCGTTTCACTTGAGGCTCATTTTTTAATAATGACCTGTCCATGTTATATTTATAGAAATGAGAAAATGGGACACACGTTTTCAATACATTCCCTACAAACCCATGAATTGCACCAATTGCACCAACTTTTCATTCAGAAACAAGATTCATTTGATTGTTTTTCTTTACATGATGTTGACTTTAAAAGATCCGGGAAAAAAAGATGAGAAATTGCAGCTACAATCAATTATTTACACATATTTGAGTTGGATGTGATGAAATCATTGCATAGAAGATTTGGGTTTGATTCAGAATGAGTTTGTCTTGTAATAACGTGCAACTTTTGTCGGAATCTCCGTGCAGAACAGTGCGTGCAGCCAGACACAGAAACCAAAACAAAGCCAAACCCCTGGAGACGCATCCATTCACTGCAGCACCCCCTTTTTAACACTGCTGATAAACTGTGTCTTTAAGAACCTGCTAGCTATCGAGTGAAGAATGCATCTTGATTTCATGATAATGGAAATAATAAGTACCTCATTCAAATGCTTGGTATTTAGGTTGCAGGGGAGTAATGAGTTACTCAAAATGGGATTTCTTAAACGCGTCAATCAGACTATACACATTTTGGAGAGAGCACACTGCATCTTTTTATCCCAGTTTGGTTGCTCAGCTTCGCCTGCATCCACTTTCCCTGATGAATGAGTGTTGACCAGCACTATCGCGCATTTCCATTGAAAATCTTTCCACATTCATTTTGCCAAAATTCCAAACATGTCACAGAGGAAACCATTAAAATCCCCCCCCCCCCCCAAGAAAAGTCCTGCAGCCCTCAAACCATGTCCTCCTCCTCCTCACCTGTTCTGCTGCCTCCGGGTCCAGGTGGGTGTCCAGCAGGGGAACGGTGAACTGTATCTTCCTGGGGCTCCCGGTGTCCATGGTGGCTGTCTGTCAAAGACGAATAGGAAGGAGGAGGAGGAGGAGGAGGAGGGAGAATCCGTACGAGGAAAGGAGGGTAAAGAGCTCACCGTGGGGGGGGTGCGGGGGTGCTGAATATAAGTGGTCTCCAGCTTAGGACTGCATGATAGTTTATGTCTGACTATTTTCTGTTCTTTAGTTGTATCTATTCACACACTTTTCGCTTTTTTTTGGCACCCTGTTTGCTTCTATCCTCAGCACCTGCTGGTGTCTCTACCACAGCTTCACTCTCCTCTCTCTCTCTCTCTCTCTCTCTCTCTCTCTCTCTCTCTCTCTCTGTGTCTCCCTCGGCTCAGTGATGAGGCAAGGGCATTATGGGCTAGAAACACCTCTCCTTCACTCTCATTCGCTGCGGCCAACTCCATGTTGGGCAAAGCCCGCCCTCCGTTCACATTTCTATCTCTCTGTATTGGATGTCTGAGACGAGGGTTGTTCTGCAGCACCCCCGCACTACCGGCAGAGAGAGTATGACAAAGACATCTCTTTCTCTCTCTCTCTCGCTCTCTCTTAAATGCGTACAGAAGATGCATGATCTGGCCTTTGCTTTTAGATAAAGTATTTTTGAAATCCCCTTCCTACACATGCTTACAAACATAGAAAGGATGAATTGGAGTGAATCATCTCCCTCAGTTGTATAAACATACACATTCCTAACAGTATTTCATAACAATTTCTGTGTGTCACAAACAACAGCTATTTTACCCCAGATCACTGCAGTATATTGTATAAATAATAAGCCCATAATGACAACTTCGAGCCAAAATTGAGCTTCTTAAAGCATCATCTGAGCTTTGTTCGTATCTGACAGTTTGTCCTCGCTGCCGCTTGGCCAGCAAAATATTTATCGATCTGCCACCGAGAGTGTCCACATCACACGTCTACTGGGCCCTGATACCTGACACCGGGCATCAGGCCTGTGATGGGGGGTGCGGGGAGGTTCATCCAGATTTGCAGCCCAGTCTGGGGATCTAATAAAAAAAAGCAATTGTATTAACATAATAAATACTACATAAAAGAACAAATTGAAATCAATATATTTTCAATCAGAAGCTTAAAGAGCCAGGTGTTAACAGTTTTGTTTCAGACACTAACTGCATTGTAAAGAGATGATTTAGAGAAGAATCTATGAATAACTAAAAACATTGAAATCCTTCTTTCTTTTCTCGTTTTAGTCGGCCATCATTGCTTGTAGCTGAGCGAGAAAGGGTGAGCGATAAAAGAAAGTTCCCACTTTTCTAAGAGCTTCTCCTGAATTATGTATCCGTTATCAAAGTAGAGAATTGTGTTAATAGAAGACTGCAATGCTCTCTGTGTGTGTGTGTGTGTGTGTGTGTGTGTGTGTGTATGTGTGTGTGCGTGTGTGTGCGTGTGTGTGTGTGTGTGTGTGTGTGTGTGTGTGTGTGTGTGTGTGTGTGTGTGAGAGAGAGAGAGCAAGAGAGAGGGAGAGAGAGAGAGCTTACAACAGCTGGCTGCGAATCCTTTGTCAGCCATTACAACCTCTTCCCTGAAGCAGAAACACAAATAAAGTTGTACAGTTATCCCAGGGTGTGTGCGTCTGGCTGAGCAAACTTCAGAGAAAACTGCCCAGAGCCACGCACATAGTACACACTGGTAGAAGTAATATTGAACATTTTATGTTTTTACATCCCCCGCAAATAGTTTTAATTTTAATCAGATATGTGGAGAAGCTCTGCATTGTGAATTGTTTGAACCCACAACATGATACGGAGAGTAAACACTAAAACGTCTTTAGCCAAACATCTCTTTCAATAGTAGTGTGCAGTATAAGACTATGGCCATTATCTTATTGAAATCAAACCTTTCCATTATAGATCAAGTGGTTTTGCAACGTTTAACATGTTGTCAAAACTAGGGAAGATTTGAACATATAGTGGTTTACTCTCAGCAAAATGTTAAGAGACAAAAAAATGACTTACTGGGGTGTTGGGGAAAGGTCAGCAAGCCATATTTTAGCTACTATATATAGTTGGTGGCAATAATACAACTTCTACTGTATACATTTATCTCTCAGAGTCTCTTATAGTTATAATTGCTGCACACGCACAGATCCTTTTTTGTCTGGACTCCCTGCAGACTCATGAAATTCAGATGAATGGAATTTTTATATATATATATATATATATATATATATATATATCAGAGGCTCCATCTCTCCAGCACTGCTCTTGTTGCTGCACAAACGAACGCCTTTCAGACACTTGGACTTCCTAGTGATATACAATATATACAACTGCATAGTCATTTTTCTGGAATTTGCATTGCTCTCAATAATTAATAGATGAAAACTACACTGAAAAACAGCAGAAACAACAAAGAACAAGAAATTGATTAAACTATGTTCAGAAAAACAAATGGAAAAAGGTAGACAGTGACAGAAGTAAAGAAAAGACAAATCGAGGGCTTATCCACCAATGGTCTCCAATCAGCACTGCTAATTCTTCATTCTGTCTTCTGGGCTCTTAAAGAGGAATGCATGGTCAGGCTGTTAAAATACTTCCTAGGAGGAATTGACGTGCTTTCCTTCGCAGTAATTGTCTGCGGCACTGTGAAAGCTTAGAGTAATTGCAGGTTACTGTGTTTTAATTAGTGCTGGAGCTTATTACACGCTGCTTCCCCAGGTGCCCTGTAAATTCACCACACGAAAACCACAACAAGCACTTCCACTCTTTGAAAGAGAGCTGTGCATTAATATACAAATGAACACACTTAACGCTCCCCGTCTAATTCCATTTACACACAGCCGTCTGCAGTGATAACTAAATGTCCAATGTTATATTTAGTCTTGCAGATGCAGTGCAGTCCACTGTCTTTCACTTGACTGACATTCCTCTGGTGTTTGAAAAATAGAAAAATGATGACGTGACTATATAAGTGTATATAGTCCAGCAGATGTTAGTGTTTAAATTTTAAGAACAATAATTGGGACAATAATTTTATATTTTCTGCATACCCTACAAATATATTACTCTATACGAGACGGCGTTTACTAAAGGCAATCAGAACCAAGCAGCTGTTGTAGATCCATGAATGTCGTCCATCAGCCAAATCCAAATCAATTGGAAACTTGACAGAACACTGATGGTTTGCATCACATATTTGGAGTTTGGGACAAACGGAGGCTTTTGACACCACCAGGGGCTTTGAGAATTTAAATTGTACATTTTCTGATTTTTTGTTATATATTGGAGGTTAATGGGTTCATTATAAAAACCCACAGATGAACTGATAATGAAAAGGATCCTCAATTTATATTTTAAAATAGGAATATATTGTTTCAAGTAATATTTTTGATAATGCTCGCAAAAAAAAAAAACATTTGATAAAAACAATTTCAGTAATCCTAAAAAAAAGATTTCAATTTTTTTTTTAAAGCTCTTTTATTTGACCAGATAACATAACAACAAGAAATTGTACCAATCAACTAACAGCAAACACGTTTGGTCCTAAATAACAGTAAAAGCAATAGTCAAGAAAAGAGGCATCAACATGCTTGACTGGAAATGAGAAACAGAAACAGTAAAACGAAGCTCAATTCATCTTTACCAAGCGTGTCAAACGAGGCCAAACGGGATGGCACTATTTTGAGAAAAAAACGTTTTAATATTCATTTAATAATATTTATTCATTCAAATTGTTTCTCCTCCGCAGCTGCCGCCCGCTCGGCCTGATGCCGGGACGTCGATGCATGGATCATTTCTTGCCGAATCTCTGGGGCACCGCCATACTCCAGATCTGACCCGGGGCAGAATGTAACTGATCCTCCGACTCTGCCTGCCTTCTGGAGCCGCGGCCAAACCTGCCGGGGAGCAGAGACGGAGGAACTGATGTGATGCAAAGACGAGGTTCAAATGAACACTTCTCAAGCTGCAAAGACAAATCTGTCTGTCTGTCAAACTGTATTTAACGAGCGTGAATGCCTGATGCAAAGGAGGAGGTTGAAGGTTAAGTTTTAACTGCTTAAAACAAGACATTTGATAAGGCTTGTTAATCGTGACCGGCACGCCGGATTGTTTTGGGGTGTTTTACAGGACAGACAATTAAAGAAAATAATCATAATGCTCCTTGCAGTTCACCGATACTATTTAAATCTATTATTATTTAAATCACATATCATTCATTTTGTCAAACCTACGTGATTCAAGTGTACAGTTTTAATCAAACATACCAGAGTAATCCTACTGTGTTTAAATTTAAGTTCACATTTCTCCACTGCAGAAATTAGTTTTATTATTTCGGTGTTGATGGGATACTGCTATGCAGAAGGTTGAACTACCATAGTGATATGGATGACTTATTTCCGCTGTGATTATCTTTTTTTGTGCCCTGTATATGTCTGTGTGTGTGTGTGTGTGTGTGTGTGTGTGTGTGTGTGTGTGTGTGTGTGTGTGTGTGTGTGTGTGTGTGTGTGTGTGTGTGTGCTGACCTCTGTGGCTGATGGAGGACAGAGTTCCTGGTTTCCCTCTGAGATCCCAGCAGCAGAGCTCTCAGCACTGCAGTCAGTAGACGGTCATCGATGGCGTCCCCTGTGTTTTCGCTCTCCTGGAGCACAGCAGCGTACACAGAAACAAATACAAGCCCATGCATCACAAATACTGTATTCTCTTTGTAAAAAAAAACGCACAAGAATATGTCGGGATAATATTTTTAACTGCATTAAATTTGGGGTTGCAGCAGAAACCCTAAGGGCTTGTTCCTCTCATTCCTGCTAAAAAGGGACCTTGAGATTTAGATACCAGTGAAGAAATGCAAATAAATGCCCCTCAAGCCAACTCCAATATCCACCCACTCTCGTTTTTATGCAAAGCATCTGTGTGTGCACGTCACACAGGGAAATTTGTATCATTATCCTCGTGATCTGAATCCTGATCTGCCCAGAAAATATGACAGTTTGTTTGCCACTGACGAGGAACAGTGTCCGAAATCTAAACGAGTAATGTGATTTAGCTTGTCTCGCTTAATAGAAAGGCTGAAATCCCGTTGACGTGCTTCAACACATGGAGTGACAGACTTCTCTGAAAATGTTGGCATGTATTCCTGTTTTTTTTCCATTTAGTCAGAACAGACATTCCAAATTTACACCCGCACTAGAGGCACAAAGTACATATTGGCACTTGTTGGTGATTTTCATATTCAGATGGCAAATTTCTATTGGTAAATTGGATTTAACATCAATTAGAAACCACACGTTGCAATGGTATATTAGATTTTCACAGCAGACTTGAAATTGTGAGTGAGCGCTTGGTTGTCTCACCAGCCCCAGCAGGTGGTCGGCCATATTCTCCTCTGAGTCTGGCAGCGCGTCATTCTTGTCCAGGCCGCCTTGGATGTGAAGCGCCCGGCTGACGCCAGCCGTCGCCACGACCAGAGCCAGAAGAGTCACCATCGCAGCTGTGTCCATGGTCTCAAAACGGAAGAGGCGGTTCGGATGAATCCCGTTGTCTGAGGCGGATGAAGGATTTTGATCGTCCAATTGCACCTGTTGACTCCAAAAGGCTCCTCGGGAACAGAGGAAGGAACTGGTGCTGGTAAAAAGGTTCGGTCTCCTCTTTGTGCAGGAACCTGGCTAACTTCTAACTGTGGTCGCCTCCCGGTGTGGCCTTTATATACACCTCATGGTCACTGGCTGAAAACCCCCCTGGGGGAGCTGGAGAAAGATGTCCCTGTACATGGGGGAACTGGGGACAGGAAGGAGGATGAACCAGCTCTCTAATATGAGACTTAACTAGGTCCTTTTAACAGGATCAGAACATTAGTGACGCATATGAGCCAGAGTGCGTTATTATGTAGCCCTTAGGGTAGTTAAACACAACTCTCACAGTTATTAAACAGATAAATCCCAGTCCCCGTTGCCCAGTTGTCCTTACTGCATGTGTGGGCAAATAATGTGGGAGAACACTCATCATCACCCACTTAATAATGCGCAATTACTAAAACAACTTAATTGATCTTAGGTAAAAAAAGAATGATCCTAAAACAGCAGAAAAACAAAACAGGACAATGTAGAAATAAATGTGTGATTATAAAATCATTTTAGGGATAATATAGTAAATAAAGTATAGGATAAAAGATCATTTTTCAAGTCAGCTTATGCAAATTTAACTGTTATCAGAGGCAATAGTTGTTTTTGCAGGGAAGAATTTTACAAAAGATACTTAACAAATAATCTCTTCTCATAGATTTTGGCGGGAACGATACCAATGAAACGTCATTGGATACCGAAACCTTTGCTTAAATCAGTCAAGGCGACAGTTTCATGGTTTTGTTTTCTTTAAACTTGCACATGAAGGGACTTTTAGAACAATGCTTCTCCCAAAGGAGCCCTTCATTTGCTAAATAGCCGCCATTATTTTCTTCATTTTCATAAGAAGACTGCTTGATTTGTGAGAGTGACAGCGGCTTTATTGTTGCAGTGTGTGTTCAATTTGTCACTGTCTTTGATTCTGTGTGTGTGGGTGTGTTCATTGACAGCTTGTGTGTGTGTTTGCGCGATAATTAGTCACTTCCCCAATACTGGATGAGGCATCAACAGATTTAGCGCATCAAAGTGCATAATGGGGGACAATCCGCTTAGACTGTAACGCACAAACACACGCACACACGGTTTAAGTGTCCCTGTTTAACTGCCATGGCAGCCAGGATGACACCTGGAGGACTCTAAGGGGAATTGGTTTTCATCTTGATTATAGGATCATAAGATTTGAGGAAAATCTAAAGACAAGATAATAAAAGGTGCGTGTATGTTTTGTAGTGCTGTGAACACCAGAACACTTAAAATCAAACACCACAACACTTTTACTCTTATGGCACCTTGGTTGTTCAGGCTCATACTGATAAAAAAAACACCAGTCACTATATGAAGGTCCAGCAAATATAAATATGAGCTTAATGATTAACATCTAGTTGAATGTACACATTTCCAACAATGACAAACAAACAAAACCAACATTTCACCAAGGTGGAATTTATGGCGGATCGTACTGATTATGACTATTGACGGCATGTTCACAGTCATTCTTTTTTCATATACCTTCAAATAGAACATGCTTGCTAAAGTCTTTCATTTTAGTCTGTCTTTGAGGTGCAGCGGGTCGCTTCTCCTCATGAAAACATGGAATAAAACAACGCACATGCAGTGGTGTTTTTGCCTCCACCCAGTGTTTTCAGAGCGAACGACAGGTTAATCAGTAACTGTAGATAACTGCCGGAAGATTCGAGGGAGAAAAACACAAATTCTAGTTATTCAAGTTATCTGAAGGTTTATTTTGTTTCCTTTCATTTTATTTACAATGTTAAAATGGTGCAGCCAAACTTATAATAAATAAAACACTGAGTTATGGCAAGATCAAAACGAAAAATAGGGGAAGGTCAGAACAGCAACAAGAGCTTCATGCAGCTAATACAAGATTGTCCAGCAATACCTAAAAAACAAGCCGGCGCTTTACAGCAACTTCATCGCCCCAAAGAAAGTACGTGTGGTTCCTCGGCGACATGTTCTGCTCTTCTCAAAATCTTCTCTCCTGTCCTCGTTTTGTTTATTTGTCCACACGTGTCCAACCGAAGCTGCGGGGCAGCGGCCTGACGTAGTTTGTCCGTTGGTGTTCTTTACCAGCAGCTCACGATCTGCCACGTTTACCAGAAGGCACTTGTGTGCAGTTAGATATGACAGTGCTGAAATGAATGTACTGGTGTGACTGGAGTACAGTACCAGGAACAGCATGACAGGCAGGATAATGTAATCAAAATAAAACCTTTTAAACCGATACAAAGTAGCAGACGTCACAGTAACAAAGAGCAAAATAAAGACGTCATTGAAAACCTCATAACTGTGATCTAATTTAGTCAAAGTCTTCTTAGAGGTTTGAATTCGATGCAATGTTTTCACACGTAATCCTTTCAAGCATTGCTTCAGAAATGCAAATGCCTACACTGCAAATGTGAGGCCCCCATTAAAAATATTGCTTCGCTTTTCTTAGATATTTGGTTTTCATGCAACTGCATAGCTATGGCCGCGGCTGTCATATATTGGATTGAGTTTGTTCTTTTTCAAGTTAACTAAAAATATTGATGTACAGTACATTTAACTGACATATTAACAAAAAGGCTTTTTTTTCGCTTGAATAAGGATTTTTTTTTAAACGTCAGGTGAACTTATTTTCAGAGCAGACAGTGAGCCCAGACAACAACACATTTAGTGTGAAGCAACACATTATTAAACAGACAACTTAGACGTATTCCTAAAGTTTACCAGTGCTAACTAAACAAAAATTCCCAAAAATCATTTACATTAAAAAATAGTTTGTCGTCAGTCTTACAGTAGTTAAGGCAAAAAGTATTTTCTTTGTCACGGGCAAAAATGTTAAAAAATGTCCAGTGTCTCTAAATATAGATAAGATAAGATTATACTGTATGTTTGTAAATTCATGCGGGTCTTTGAGTTGTGGTTTTATGAGTTGTGGTTTTATGTCCTCCTTTTTTCTGATGACAGAATCCGTGTGAGAATCTTTCTGCAGGCTGTAAAGACTATTGAGCAGCTAAAATTAATCCAAAATTATTATTAACTTTAACACGCTGAGTATATATGCACAGTATAAATAGACTATGCAGGGCAGCATGACAGAGATCCAGTCACCGTGTAACAGGCCACCAATGTGCAAGTACTGACACAGTACACAGTGCACAAGAGGTCATGATCTCAGTCTATGTGCACTTCCTTTTTACAGTGAGTTCCGATGCAAAGACAGAATGAGCGCCGCACATGGTGATTTGAATTAATTCAGTCGGTCAGTGCTTCAGAGCGAGTTACGAGGTCCCGTCGCTCCAGTGGGTGGCCCATTCCTTTTTATGGGGGACTCCAGACTTCTCAGGGTGGAACTGGGGCCGGTCCTCGCGAGGAATCTTCACCGCGTGGTGCTGAGGCAATTTGTCTTTGTAGTGGGCCCGTTGGAAGAATCCACACTGTCGGCACAGGGAGGAGGTGAGCAGGTGGGAGGAATAGTGGCAGAGAGAGGGATGGAGAGGCAGGATGGAAGCAGAAAAAAAAACATGTCATTAAGTGATGTCATATATAATAATGTGATAGCAAATCAGCAGCAACGGTTTGCCCTCATGTCAGCAAATAAGACTATAAGATTGCACTTTCACAGCTAAATAACATGTAATGTCTGCTTTTCCATGTTATACATTGTTATAGACTAATACATGTCTCTCACTGACAAATCTGACCTGATGCAATCAAAGTGACATTTTAATTTTAAAAGTAAGTAAAATCAAAAGCACATTCACATGCTGCATTTCATCAGTTTTAAGTGTCCTTGATTAAAAAAAAAAACAGTCAAAAACACACATTAATGCGAACAAAACCCCCTTGCTAATATTAATGAAAAGTTGATTCTGGCACCTGAATAAGTCAGTTGTTCTCAGGGATGGAAGTCAAATAGGAGAGTTAATGGAAGACAAGGCCATCATGAAATGAAACGCAGACCGGTGCCAGAATGAACCGAGTGTATTGAAACTGTCGACACCAAGCAGAGGCACAACACACAGCACGGCACGTAGCTGAAGAGCCCTGACAGATGGCTGGATGGTGTTCAAAGGCGTAGATTACAAAGACAGTGCACAGGTCAATTCTGCCAAGAGCCTGATTGGTTGCGAATGTAATAATATCCACACGTCAGTCAGTTGACTTCATTGATATATTCACCAAACCCCCTCAAGCAGCTACAAAATCTCTTTCTATTCATTCTGGCGTAGACGCGGTGATATTTTACAATATAATGAACACCACCAGCCACACCAGAGTACATCCAGGAACAAAGCAGTTGTGGGTGAGTATTTTTACCGCTTGGAGGGAGAGGAGGAGGGGAGAGCAGGCCAGAGTGAAATATCGCTTATATTATGGTTCTGTTGCCTGCTTCTCCACCTCCGAGGGCTGAACCCCCAAATGTGCGCGGTAGTACTCCGTCTCATAGTGCCGGCGCCGCTCACTGCGTTTGAAGAACCCGCACTGGGTAACCGATCACCACAGGGGGGAGGGGGGGAGAGAAATACAGTGGGAAATGAAAAAAAGAAGGGGATTTAGAGGATAAAGAGTCCCCAAGTGGAAGTGAGAGGAAACAAAACAAGGGGGATGACATACAGAGGACAAACAAAAGAGGAAAGGAGCAGATGACAGTGAGCTGGGAGGAATAAAATGATTACATGACTACCTTGGAAAGAAGTGAAATAATGACAGAGTAATGGCCAGTGGGGCAACAGGGAGGGAGTCAATTAAACTAAAAGGACCTCTTATGTAAAGGCTGAATCTAAATCAGTTTAAATGACGTGAAACATAGAAGAAGAAGGCCTGTGTTGGGTACAGTGTGTTAAGAGAAGGCAGTGGCTGTGTATGCGTTACCTTCCACAGTATGCAGACCAACAGGGTCAGCAGCAGGATGCCCGCCAGGACGGCTATGAGGATGATCCACCAGGGGATCCAGTACTGGTCAACGAGACCGGGCTCGGGATAGATCATCACTGGCACCTGGGGAGGAATTCAATCAAATAGGGGATATACAGTATTTCGCTGACATCCTATTCTGATTAATCAGTGAGTCAGGCACTGGATAATATCTGTATCTAAATTAGGTTTAGAAAATTAGAAATTTGCAGTTTGCTAAATATATTTTAGGTACTGTGTCATGGGTAAAATGTGACACCAGCAAATATGCTATCAACAAAATGAAATGCGTTGTTTTTTGTGAAGAAACATACTCCAACTAGAAACTGCTGAGTACCTGAGCAGCAGCATCCTTGAGGAGCAGGTGTTTGATGGTGGACTTCACGGTGATATTGGCTCTGACCAGTAGCTCCAGAGCACTGACTGCTGGGAAATCCTGACAGACAGAAAAGGGGGGAAATTGTACATAAAATGTTCATTCAGATGCAGCTCTTAAAACTGTGTTGAAAATATATTGTTTGACCAAAATAAAAAGGTTATTGTAATAAAATCTGATTAACTTCTGGTGAACCCATCACATATAACGACCGCAATATAGCTTAATAAATTATTTTCTTTGATAAATGATTTTCTTTCCATCCATATCATGACACATAAAAACAGCAATGGCTAAAATGATGAACACAGTAGCCATGTAAATAAATATAATCAAGATTAATAAGGTAAAAAGTCCATTTCTGCAAGGGTAAAGGTCAATTTTGAATTAACTATATATTTCCTGTGACTCTTGGATGTCGCAGCAGGTGACTCAGCGGTCAAAGCTGACAGCTGTGATTAAAGTTTGCTGCGGTTATCATTTCTTCACTTCCACTCGATGTGAGCTGCCAGCAGCAGCTGGACCGAAGCTGCGTTGGGGAGTAATGATGCTGTGAGGTGCTGACGTAATGATGACAGGTTGTTGTTGTTGTTGTTGTTGTTGTTGTTATTTCACCTCTATGAAGCTGCTGTTCCACAGCCTGGCGTGGATCTTGAGGATAGCCTGACCGGAGAAGCTGTGCAGGGGACACTGAAACAGGACACAGCGCGCCGACCCCAGCAGACAATCCTTAAAAAAATAAATGACAACTGAGCTGATTTCCAAAGGAACCGGAGAGAGCAGCTACAACGGCAGTGATGAGCGGAAGGGCCGTCTGTATTTCTCCCTCCGTCTCACCAGTTTGAGCGACTTGCGTCTCTCCGAAGCTGCCACAGCTGGGCTGGATCGTCGCACGCCGCCTTCTTTTGTCACTCGGCCCTCCTCCTCCGGGTGGGAACGACGCGTACGCCCGGCCTGCAGGAAGTGACCCATTCATACAAGATGAGACTGAACTGAGCGTTCAGAAATGTTTGAGTTTACATGCAACTGCATCCAAAAAAAATCTCTCCTTTTCTGCACCCGATGGAAAATAAAACTGAGCTTTTTTGTCATTTAACACATTTTGTAAAGTGATTTCCAGCATAAATTCTTGAATTTTGAAAAGACACTGAGAATAAATGTGTAGACCAAAGTGTACATTTTCCCTAAAACATTACCTTCAATTGTAAAAACCAAAATCAAGATTTAACTAAAAGTTGGCCAAAATCCCCATATTTTGAATTGTTAAGTTAATTTCTAAGTCACAAATAATGGACCTGTGATTCCCTGGTTAATCGAGCAAAGGAGTTTTGTTCATTGGCATTCATAGAATTCCAGCAGCTTTAAAAGTGGCTGCAACTGAGACACATTTCGGTTGAATCAGTAAAAGCCAGTTATCAAATGTCCAAAGACATTGATCAACCACACCTCGTTTGGTGGAGATATTGTACAATAATCCTTGCATGGTGCAGAAATCACCTTGTCGGGCTGTGGGGATTCTGCAAGCGAGGAGCTGTGTAGATTTAGAGGATTTAAGACTCCTGCCGTGGTGCATTGCGTGTCCGGGTGGCCCTCAAACGTCAAGCTGGCGGGATACAGCAGCCATTTCTCGTTGGCCAGCCCGTAAGGCCACATGATGTTGAGGAAGGCCGAGCCCAGCGTCTGCAGAGCTTGTCCGGGATTCGCAACCTGGTAAAAACAATATCAAACGTGTTAGATCAGGATGTGCGTCTTTCTGTAGCAAACTAAACACACACACACACACACACACACACGGTTCCTCACCACAAACTCAAAATCCACAGGGCTGCCGATGTCTTCCACACTGGTCATGGCACTCTCGCCCTTCACCTTCCCACTGAAGAACAACTGGTGAGGACGAGCAAGGCTGCAGTAAAAACAGGATCACATCGAAGGGTTGGACAGATGCAAACACACTCACAGAGCGTTTTACTGTTTACTAGCCGCAGTAGCTGTACAGTTAAAGTCCACAAGCAAGCCTGGGATTAGATCAAGTCTCTCATAGCAAATGGAAGAGCTACGTATGTATTTTATTTCACTCAAACTCATATGTATGTTGTTAATAAACCCCGCAAAATGTTATTTAAAATGTTCCAAAACTAGCTTCTGAGAAATGTGCAGAAAGTGATGCTCAGTTTATCATGAATATCTTTTTGTAGCATCAATGGAGAGTTTGAACCTGCTGATGGATAATATATGCAACATGAAAGACATGAACGCAATGGGAAATGTGTATGAGATAAAGCAGCCGCACTGTTTTTAACATGGAAGAACTGTTTTGGAAGACTTCACTCACCCACTGACAGACAGAGGGAGCTCTATCACAACTTTAGCAAACGCTGTGACCGGCGCGAGTTCAGGCTGCTCGCTGATGCTGAGGACAAAACCACAAAACAAACACTGTGGTTAAACGTTTATTTGGGATGAACAAGTCAAATATCTTGAGATTTGTAGATGGCTTACGTTGTCAACAAGAGGTCCGCTGTCAGCTCGGTGGTCTCAATTGTGATGTTAGATGTGCTCAAGTTGATGGAGAATTTCAACTGAAAAAGCAACAAGCAATATTTCAGTGCATAAAATTACGCTTCATATGAAAAACATGCTGATGTTGAACCTACGACCATAAATAGCTTATTTTTATCCTCACATTCTTCCAAGCTTGAACTGAATTCACACGGTTTTGTTTCCGTACCTTAGTGTCTCGTTTCACAGGGTTCCCCAAGTCACACTCGACCTGCGAGCCGTTCTGGTTCGCTTGGCATCTCATCTGCAGTCAATCAGGATATCACACAAATTCTCTCAGCAAAAACCAAGATCCAAACAACTTTTCTCCCCCAACACGAAAAACGACAACATTTTTTTTTTCTCTCATTGTTGAGCCCCACCTGTGGTGGGATCCTGGAGCCGGCGTATGAAAGAGTGTTTGGAAGAGAGATGATCAGCTGAGCGGCGTGAGCGTCGTCTCCGTCCTCCTCCGGGTGGAGCGGGTCGGAGGGCGCGTTGGTGACGCTGATCTCCAGCACCACCAACCGCTGCTCGGACAGGGAGAACACCTGCACATCGTCCTCGTCTCTACGCGAAGAGAGTGTGGGAAAGACACGCGCATTTACAGCTGTCGATTAAAAATACACGAATTTGAGAAACACTGGAATAAAAATTGGGCTCATCAGACACTAACTTTGGCAGAGGGGTGAAGAGGTCAGAAGTCAGGGGTCGCGTTCCAAACTGGTATCTCAGCTGTAGGTTGCTTTGGCAGATTTTGTCGATGCCGCAACCTTCTCGAAGGAAGTTCACCTTTACAGGGTCAACAAGAGAGACGTGCTGATGTTTATTATACGTGGTATAATCAACCCAGTTATTTTCTGAGTTTTAGAATAGAATAAAACATTCATCAAGAAAGTAATAGACCAAGTAATTGTGTAGCACTATTGCATTAAACCTCTGCATTATTTTGCATGAAATGCTGATTAAGCAGCAGATATTTGGGTTTCACGGACCTGTGTGGGATGAAAAACAATGGATGCAGCCAGTGGATTTGTGTGTGAGGAGGTAAAAATGTGATTCAGTGTTAAGCTTCAAGAAAGAGAAAACTTCTCAGGTGCTTGTGCTTTATGTAAATAGTGAACTACGTTCAAAGGATCATGTCGGGTAATCTTTTAACAACAGAAATCAAAATGTAGGATTCTGCATTTTTATGTTGTTTATAGAATCAAAATTCTAACTATTTATGCTTTGAGTGTATCATTTTATGTCTTTAACTTGCCCCGACCAGCCTAAGTTAGTGCAAAAAGGACTGTTAATGGCAATGTGCTTCATAAATCTCTACTTCTTTATGTTTCTCTAATTGTGTGGCCCATTAAATGAATCCCAGTCATGAAATATTTGAGCTTTCTTCTGGCTCCAGACCTCTGAGTGCAGCGTGTTTGAGGGGGAAACACTCAGTACAGGAGCCAGCTTCTCCAGCCGCTTGGCAGCCGAGTGTCTGCGTGGTGGTACAGGCTTGATAGTGTGCGTTATCGCCAAGGAGATTGGACGCAGTTTGTCGCGGATGTTCTCCTGCCCAGAGAATTTAAAAAAAAAAGATGAATGCACAACAACAGATTGGCACAAAGAGTTTGTTTGTGGTACATAATATTATGAATATACGTATACATTTTGTCTTTTTATGATTGGCAGCTGTTTCCAGATGCAATAAACAAGTCTCCAAATAGAAATACCAGGGAGCTGTGATGGATGCGACTGTTGGTTATAAAATGTATTCATCTATTTACTTTCTTTCTTTGTAGATTCAGTAGCCAGGCTACTTACTGTTTCTTAAATCAGTTGTCTGCAGTATAATTAAAATCTATACACATAGTGTACACACAGTAGTACATATCAATATATATCAATACAACTATTGCATTATTCAATCGTTTGCTACAAGAGTAAGATAAAAATAAGAAAAACATGTCCAACAGTAATTGTCTATAAGCTCCAGTTACTGACATGGAGCTGGAACGTAGCAGTGGTGCACACGGGGTGACGCTGCCGGTGCAGCTCCACTTCTTCTTTCTGCGTATACTCCGGCACCAGGGAACTGCGGCCCAGGAAGTTAACGCGGTGCGGGAGGCCCAACTTCCTGCGCTCCGTGTCGGCTTCAAAGTGCACCACGAGTGCTGATGGAGGGAGTAAAACCAGGGGCGATGCATGAAGAGAGATGGAGGGGGTGTTGACAAATGTCAGGACGCACACAGAGAGCACTTTAAGAGCCCGCTGGGGGGTCAGAAAAGAAACCAGCAACTGAGGGAATACAGTATTACAAGGCTTTGATTAAATTAAAACACAGTGTGATGTGACCCCATAGATGAGGTTACTTTCCACCGTAAATAGAAATGACTCTGACCCACACGACGGAAGAACCAAAATGGCGTGACTTACTAATGTGTGGCGAGTAGTGTTCTGGGTGGGCTGTGAAGGTGAAGCAGGCCTTGACCTCCATGCTAAAAAGGGCAGACGGTGGAGTGTAAAAAAAAAAAATCTGTTACTACATTCGCTTAGATCGAATTAAAGATGAGTTGGAAAAAACAATAACAGCTGTTTTTGTCAAATGATCAGTTTTTACCAGACGCCTTCTCTGCCTTTGCAGTTGTGCTGTTCCAGATCAATGAACTGAGGGTCAATAGATACTTCTCTGAGCACATGGATGACTGGGTGAGACCTTGGGGAAACGTAGAAAGTCAAGTAGCATCGGTTATGACTTCATTACGGTTAAAAAACATGAGAAAATAAACATTGCATTTTTGTCACCTGAAGAGAACCACTGAGTCATTAAGAGAGCCAACCGCAACATCAGGGTAGTGGTTGTTGTCAATGTCCAAACCACCTGAGATGGAATATCCAAAACGTCTCACATCAAAGTCACGACCGTCCAGCACCTGATGTTTTTGCGATTAGAAACACCGATCAGTCACCATTCACTTTGTCCCCCTCTTATTCTCATTTTTTCCATCTGTTGGTTCATCCCGGAACGGTTGTAATGAAACTCACCTGAGCCGGTTTTGTTTCAATTCCAGAATCTGAGCCTCTGTAGATGAAGACTTTGCCATCTCCATCGAAGGGGGCCCCCACAGCGATATCTGAACGGGTAGTGTAAAACCATAACATTTAATGATTTCTAATTCATATTTAAACAGTTTAAAAGAAAAAAAACACTGTATGAAAAGTGCAGATGGGAAACTGTTGGTCAAAGGTGGAAGTAAAATTTGTAACCCTTTATGTTTTAAACAGCAGCAATAGAAGTGTAACAAAATCAGTCCCTTTACAGTGTAAAGTTCGAATAGTGTAAAGTTTACACTATTGAAATCCGACTAAAAAATCTGTAATCTCACCTCCGTATCCGTCCTGATCCAGATCTCCGATGTTGCTGACGGTGATTCCGAACATGGAGTCGTAGGTGCCGTTGAGGCGGATGGGCCGGGCCTGATCGTCCCAGTGACCGAAGGGGTTTAGGTACACGTACACAGCTCCGCCAATCTCTGCCTTACGGTCAAAGAAATTAGGAGCTCCGACAATCAGATCCGTCCAGCTGGGGACAGAAACAGAAGATGAACACAAGAAATTAAGTTTGTTTTTCATTTATTATTCAGGTTGTTTTTTTTAAGCACACCCCCCTCACAATAAACCACACAAACAGTGCAACTAAGTACAATTACAAATACCGTACTGTACTTAGCTTTAATCGAGTAGTAGTATTTCATGCTTTTATTTCTGTTCTTTGTTCAATTGATACACTTGTAATATATAACACTGTGCTTACTGTGCTATAGAAGTAAAGCAGGGCCCGATCTGCCTATCAAGAAACTTGCGGTAAAATACTGAATACTCCTTCCCCGCTGGTCACTATTTATTTACATCATCCAGACTGACTCCATCCATCCATTTCCTTACCCGTCCCGGTTTAGATCCGCCGTAGCTACCGAGTACCCAAACGAAGACGCCAGTTCCTTCCCCCAGAAGATGTGCTGTGGCACCAGCCGGTACACGTTGTCCTTCCTCAGCAGCACCACTGCCCCCGTGTGATTGGCCCTCGGTGCCCCCGCCACAAAGGTCAGTTCCCCCAGGCGCATGATCCCCATGGCCGAGTCCACGGAAAACCCTGGAAGACGCGAGTCAGGATGGAGGGGAAGATGTGGAAGATTGAGGAAAAGGGTCGGGGGGTAAGTATTGATCGTGGGGCTCAGAAGCTCATCTTCTTACTAATGAAATGTGTGCCTTTAAGTAACTATTGATTTTGTGGCAAACTCGTGATGGGTGTAAATGGCATGTGCGCGTGTGTTTTAAGACTTCTAGAGGCCGGACGAATGGATACGCGTCCGCTGGAGACAGCAGTTGTGAGTGGTGACGTTAGCAGAAGACGCATGGGGCTTCACCTAATGTCCCTTGAGATTCATGACCCTGCTGCTCTGTATCAGTTGCTGTAGGTGTAGGCAGGATGGGTGGACGTTAATCAGATTTATAGCAAAGCCTTGTTTTGTGTGGACGTTTATGTTTGTGCATGTGTAGAGGAATTTGTGCTTGCATGTAAATCAGTCAGAGCAAGGGTTGTAACAAGTAAGAGGGGGGAGGGGATGTGTGTGTGTGTGTGTGTGTGTGTGTGTGTGTGTGTGTGTGTGTGTGTGTGTGTGTGTGTGTGTGTGTGTGTGTGTGTGTGCTTGCTTGCTTCATAACAAGGTCTGTGTTGAAATATTCTTATCAAGATGTGAAAATAGCACGTCATATCAAACATTTCACCTGAACAGAAGCAACCGCATGCAGAGGTTTCAGAGCATGCAGATGTGAAATAATCAATCAGGACGTGAGTAAACATGCAGGGGGAGACACAACAGGGACAAACTGAGAGCAGCTCCATGGCGGCAGGTGAGGAATGCAACGGTCTGCAGCGCAAGTCCTGTAAAAACCAACGGAGGGAGACAAAAGGTGCTGCTTTTCGCACACAGGCTTGCTACAAGGCCGTCTCTATAAAGCTAAATGGGGAATGAAAGCTGCACCCTGTTTCTGGACCACCTAGTGTTTGCACTATAATTTTGCAGATATGTACATATTCTAATGCCTATTACTGTTAATTAATTTAAATTACTGGTCCTGCTTTTACATTTTCTGTGTGCAGCTACAACTGCATTTCAAGCTCAACATTGAACCTCACTGTGTAGTTTTACTTATTTGCTCTGTTTGAAATATCTTTTTTAACTAACAAAATGAATGGTGCAGGGTTGAATTGCATATCATGTATTTTGAAGGGTCTGTCTAGTCTCCTATGCAAGGTGCTTTAACCAATGTGCATTACTCTGTGTTCACAACTATTCACATGAGTGAGGATATTACCCTAACAATACATTTTATTCCATATCTTATTCGGTGTACGTTCTAAGATTCCCGACCATTTTGAAATGGTAGCAACATCTTCTGTATAATCTCTTGCATCATATTAAGTGGCAACAGCTCAATACAATGTGCTTTCTTAGTGTCTATTGCAACAATTAACACTTCTATTCACTCTTTTATTTTTCCATCTACTTGTTTTTCTTTTTTATTCTGTGTTATCTTATTGGGTCGTTTTGTAAAATAAAAACTACAAGCTGGTATGAACATAAAAACCAAATGTTCTTCTTGTTACAAACCCACCCGGCTTTCACTTAATACTCAATTTTGCCGAATAATAAAGACATTCCTTCTATTCTCTGGGGGAAATTTATTTGGCCCTGATAGAGGTGAAAAGGACTCACACGTTCATTCAGCACTGCTCTGTATCGTCATGTATGTAACAACCTAATACAACAATTTTGGATTTGATGATAAACCACAAGACTGTTGCTGTCATTTTAGGTAAGCATGCAGGTGTGGCAAATCATCTGGGTAGGATCAACGGAAGCATGTGAGTTATAAATGAAGGCCAAAAAGGTCATGTGGGAATTAGTGTTGTCAAGGAGACGGCTCAATGTGGAGAGCGGGAGGGTAAGCAGGCTTGGAGGTATGTGAATGAAGAGATTTATGGGAGATCCACACACTAAAGCAATAACTTGAACAAATCACAAAACCCGCTTGTGTTAAGAGAGCAAGGCGCCGTTACACATGGACCTACATACCAAGAGGTTCATGACAGAAACAAACATACGTCCACCACTTTGGTCGAGGTAACAACCTCAAAAATTACCGCATACATTGCCATAGACTTTTAAGCAGAAATTGATGAACCCCAAAGGATCAGAGTGACTTTGGTATTATCCTGACTTTCTCTCCACTGCCTCCAGCAGGTCAACGTTTTCCATAAAATATCTATTTACTGACTAAAATTCTGCATCGAAATGAAACATTCATGTCTGAACAACTAACCCAAAGGTATTCGGTAAACATATTCATGATCCCCTCAGGATGAACTGTATCAACTTTTCAGTTTATGGATTGTTGTACCAACATGAGTTGGAAATCTTAAGCTGTCCATTACTTTGGTGTACGACCAAACCTGCAAAACTAAGGACATTTCCGCCGTCCTCAGCTTTTACTCCTTTCTTAAATTGATTTTGTTAAACTATGTCAACCGACCAGAGGAGCACCACCACCTGGAAAGCTTTGTACCAACACACACACATGCAGACTGACTCAATACACTACAGGCGACAGAAATCTACAGACAGAACAGACAAACACCCCGCTGCTACTCAAAGAGGCAACCATCTCCTCGCCACCATCAAATCAGCAGCTAGAAGCTGAAGCCGACAAATGACAAAATTACATTAAATTCAAATAAATAAAATCAATTGAAATGAATTGAAATTGGATTTGATTAAATTAATAAAATATAATTAAATTAAATTAAATTAATATCCCTCGAAGCTGGGATAGACTCCAGCCCCCCCGCGACCCTGTGTGCAGGATAAGCGGTTTGACGATGGATGGATGGAAATTAAATTAAATTAAATTAAAAGTTTGGGATGGCTGTCTCTTTTAAACAGTGCAGGTGATACAGTCCCGTTTAGTACATAGATTACACTCAACAAACCTATCTGGAATTAGCAGAGAGGATTAAGACGAAGACACAGGAGGAAGACGGGACTACTTCCACTACAAGCCCAGTCCGATCCAAACGAAAACACCTCACGCCAACAAACCTAAGTAGCTATTATGAGCTACATCCTCAAACGCTGTGGGCCGGCTGGATGGCTCCAGAGTTTTGTACAGCAGTACATCTTCAACGGGGCTAGCCATGAACAAGAGCCCTACGGCCCAAGGACAGCGGGAGAGAAGAGGGAGAAAGAAAGAGGTACGAGTGTAGGAGGGAGGTGATGGGGTGGTGAAATGGTGAGGGAAGGGTGGGAGTGAAAATAAAGGGAAAAGAGAGGGAGGTGCAGGTGAGACAGGCTGTGATTGATTGGGTTTCGTCTTCGTGGTGCCACAGCGGTCCAGTAAAACCACCGGGTACCTGGTGGAGGGACCGCGTTTCAGGCTCAGACTGCACTTTGGACGGTTGTACATCACCCTTTTGAGTCTTGACGTGTTGTCCTGTACTTTGTTTTAGGATGAGGGCAGTACATTGAAATGAGGACGACGTCTTTGTTGTTGGGATAATTTAGCATTTACTTTGGGAAAAGATTTCCTATGGTTACTCAAAGAAAGGGAGAAAGGCCAGACTTTAGCAAACGCTGGCATCATAGAAAGCTTCTCAGATTCACATGGGAACACGTTCAATTTGTCAGAGGCGGAGTAACATTCCAGATTCAAGGCCCTTCGTGAGTCAGACACAGATAGGCTCATCCGGAAATAATCCACAGGGAATGAGCCGTTTGAGGCATTTTGGCAGCTGCTACTGTTACTAGCTGCTGTGGTCTTGGCAGCCATGTTGGCGGGCAGCCTGAGCCGGGATGTCCCCCACCACTGGCCCTCGCTTTCTCTCCGCTGTGCACAAGGCAGCAGGGAGCAGGGAGGGCAAATCCTACCCAGGTAACTGTGGGAGGGCACAGGGATGAGCTCGGCATTAAGCTGTTTCTGATCTGCCACCTCGTAGGGCCCGTCGTCATAGAAACCGAGGTCCAGCAGAGTCTGGTTAAGGAGCTGGACGCGCATCTCACCTGGAATGGAAAATGGTGAAGGCACAGCAAAGCAACAAGCACACACAGTGGTCATCGGAATACCAAAACCTGCATTACCTGGTGCATACGTGCACTACTACTTACTTCTTCTTCTTCTACTTTTAGAGTGGCGCGTTTATAATAACCGGAAACTACATAACGCAGCCGGACAACTCAAAGATAAACCTTAAAAAATGGACCGTGTGCTTTTTCCATTTTTATATATATATATATATATATATATATATATATATATATATATATATATATATATATATATAGAGAGAGAGAGAGAGAGAGAGAGAGAGAGAGAGACCCATATATGTCTATATAAATATGAGTATCACATATACGGATACAATTAAACCATGTATGTAGACCACAGGTCTTCACGCTTTATATAGAAAATGCTGGTTAACATTTTAATTCAGTATGCAAATTGTATAGATTAAATATGAGTGTTGATCCCATGAGGCAGACAAAATTAATCAATTGAATAGGTCTTATAACGTGATAAATCTTAGTGATTTCTTGGATTAAGTGCATGTCACGGCTCTGTATAATGTCTGCGGCCAATCACGAGATTGGTTTATAAATCAATTAGATTTAAAAAAAAATCCAAAACGGAATTACCCTGTTAATTGTATTGATTTAGCTTATATGAGTTGGTTCTTCACTAGCTTACATTTACTGTAACACTATTTATTTATGTCCAGTTAAAAACATAGGAGAGCTCAATAATAAGCAATCAAAGAAAAGTAAAAAAATAAAAATACATTGTGAGGGGCTCAAGGGGAGAAGTCGAAAAGAAATAGAGAATTTAATTGAAATCACGTTTGCCTTTTCATTGTTTTGTTTGCGTAATCTGTCCAGGTACCGTACCTTTCCAGTTGTAAGTTCCCGGAGCCCCAAACAGTATGAAGTTGTTGTCTGGGCTGAAGCTGACGGAGAACCCCTGCTGACAGAAGCCAAACTGCTCGTGTCCCTGCGACCGGCCCTCGCAGAACTTCCACTCGCCCCCGTCCAGGTCGTCCCGCTCGGTCAGATCCTCACTCAGAACGTAGCAGCGGCCGATGGGGTCGCGAGTCTCCGACGTTTGACCCACTCGTTGCCTGATCTCGTACAGGTGAGCGCAGGTCTGGAGACGGACAGGACTCGGTTAAGTCCTTGACCGTGAGAATTAGACCCACATCCCCCTCCCTGTGCCCCCACTTACCACCACCTTCCCTCCGATCCCCTGACTCTTGACGGTGACTCCCAGCCACTGGTTGTCTTTGCTCTCTCTCTCCAGATTCACTGAGGAGGGGGGAAACCAAGATGGCAACCGTTGGAGTCTCCATATTGTATTGCAATTCAGAGCCACAGGAAGCAAATAGCCTTTTGTTATCCAATGGCGTTATGAGCATGTTTGAACGGCGACATAAAAAAGGTATAATGGCATTCAGTAAGTCAAATAAAGTCGAGCCTGAATGAATCAGTAGATCGTTTGGGCGGATTTATCATTTATAGCTTAGAATTTGACATGTATGAAATGGTTGTTTCATCTGACAAAAAGTTAAAAGCCCAAATGTATTAAGTTTGCTATCAAAAACATGTAAAAACAAGATTTTAAGCAAATATTCACGCTTGAGAAGCTACAATGGGAACTGCTTGATTATTTTTTTCGGCTGACTTTACTCACCATCTCCATCGATGTCCACCCTCTCACAGTCGTACTCCTCCGGTGTGATTGGACACCTGAACAAGGCCCCGGGCCGGCTGCCCTTCAACAGTCCCTGCCCCGCTGCCTGCGGCGCCCCCACCAGGATCCTGAGCAAACATCACAATGAAGGATCTTATTAATAGTAACATTTATGACACTATAGGAGACTGAATGCTGATGTTACAGCAGTCTGTATCATCGGTTCATGAAAGAATCTGAACATCTCGTGTGAGTCTCAGAGGGAAAGCTCTGGATCAAGCTCTCGGTCCACTTACGAGCAGACTTTTATTTGTAGTTTGTTCCTCGATTTTTTGCCTGACAAGGAACTGAAAGGAGAAGACGTACAAAACAATGTGTCATTGTCCTCGCCTGATAATGGCCAAAGGTGTGAAAAGCACCCCTAATACCTGTATTTAAAAGCTAAATGTAGTTTATGTGATCAAACACTAGAATTAACACCATTATTTCACATGTTACTAGCGACACATTCCAGCCTCAGCTCACCTCAGCCGCCATTACATACAAGTTAAGTACAAACAGCTGCAGTTCAGGCTCTCTAAATCCTGCTGGGACCGGCTACAGTAAAACATGCTATCTTGACTTTACATTGATTTAAAGCAACTCCTTGACATCTACATTTAACGCATCCTGTTTGAACTAACGGCTTATCACGGACCATCGTTCGCTATCAAACCGAGGAACGTTTTTATTCTGGATGGGGTGGGGGATGATATTTCGGGGCCAGTGTCAGTGACCTACGCCTTATTAGGAGCGGCTGATTCGGCCAAGGAGGCTATTTAAAAACCTGAACGTTGAGCCACATTCCGCCCAACACTGTCAGCCGTGGCACAGGCATGGAGGCGAGACGTGGGGAAACACCAGCAGAGATCACAGAATAAAGGAGATTGTAGGGTCGGGAGGGGGGGGGGGGGGGGGGATCAACCGTAAACTCTGTGCCACAACAATAGCTGCTTCCACATACGGCAATTATAACAATGGCGATAAAAGCTAGCAGTCTGTGTGAAAGGTTCCCATCACCAGCCCCCCCTCATATCTACCTTGTTGTGTACACACTTAAACTAGAGTTATCTCTGAGGTGCAGAGGTATTTTGATCATAAATATAGTTTAGCAAGTTGAGATTAGACACTCATCAGGAGGCCGGAACAGCATTCTTCTTTTTTACTAATAACAGTTTAGATGGTTTGGCTCATGCCAACGTCGTACTCGTTTCACGCCATGACAATCGCCCCGGGTCAACACATCGTCTTCTTCCGCTGTAACAAAATACCTTCGGCCCTCGCTTTCATCCCCGCCACAATGACACACTGACACTCAAACTACCAACTCAAAACCACCCAGACTGCCAGACAGCTGCATTTCCCATTTTCACCTCTCCCCCTGACAGGGGCTTCTGTTGAGGTGCAGCCGTGCGTTGCCTCCGGGATGATTCCCTATACCTTAATGAGTGAACCCCCCCCCTGCCCCCGCACCCGACAACCACCAAGACATCCGATGGGAAACAACACCTGCTACACACCAATTGGTGGCCCACATGAGAAACATTGAGCAAACGGCGTTAAGCCAACGCAGACAGATGTTAAACAAAAGGGGGGACTCAAGAAGAAGAACAAATCGCGAAGATAAGATCTGGTCCTTCTCACAGCTCAACATTCCTAAGGAGCGCTGGTTTACGTTGAGGAGTTGAGGTGATACCCATCGCCCCCCCTTATCCCCCCTCTACATGCGCAGACACACTGGCAGGTGTCAGGGTGTAAGGTGGGGGGTCTCTACCAGAGAGAGCTGGACGGCTCCCAACCGGCACATGTGGATAAACATTACATTGGGCCAAACAGAGTGATTTAAGTGACTCTTCGGGGAGGGAACCCCTCACAAGACACAGAGCACACGCAGCGATGAAACTTTCTCCTGCTATCATCCTCCTACATAACTTTGAAATGTGGCTGAGAGATGAGAAGCATCTGTACCTTTTGATGTTGATCTGACCTCGGTCAATGCCGATGGCACGTACCTCACAGGCATATTTCTTAACTAAATACAATGTCTACATAAAAATAAACAAGTTTCACTGTTTTCTAACATTAACAATTAGAAAAGAATCATCAGTTAGCACCCTTTTTAGCTATTTTGTTATTCATTAGTCATTCCCTTCATTCAACGCTAGTAATAAAAAGCATCTTTGTAAAAAAAAGAAATAGCAGTCCTGAACATTTTTAAGCGTGAATCTTTTTGCAAGAAGCTCAGTAATTGAGTGAGTCAGAGCTGAATAATCCCCAGCAAACAGACACACGCGGATAAGATGTCAGGACTGAGTAATGCTGCTTCGCTCACTTCTTTGTTCAGGATTGAGTCAGAAAAGCTGATCTTCCCACCCGATGCCTAGCTCATATTTATATAAACCCATATTAGACATGTGAGTGAGTGTGTGTGTGTGTGTGTGTGTGTGTGTGTGTGTGTGTGTGTGTGTGTGTGTGTGTGTGTGTGTGTGTGTGTGTGTGTGTGTGTGTGCGGGTTTAATGTGAGTGTTTGTAGGTATGTTTTGCCGCTGCTGTTTGGCAGGTATCAGGGTGTTGAGCAGGATGGTGTATAGTGGAAAACCCACATGCATCCACACATCACAGCATTAAGTGTGTGTGTGTGGGGGGGGGGGGGGTTATGTATCCAGGTTGTATTCACAGATCAGATAATGCACCTGGATCCCGCCGAGGGATTAAAACAAAAACGATCTCTGCCTAAAAGGGTGTTTCAGAAGTTGCAGTTTCTCAGACAGGACTATGAGCTCACAGGTAATTTACAAATAAAACCTCAATTAACATGTGTGAGGATTATTTTGTCTTAAAAACCATTGTTACAATTTATTACTAGTTTGTCATTAGAGGAATTGGATAAAACGAATAACGTTTAGTTTACAGTCAATGACAATATCTCCTCGACATTGAGAGGCTTGGTTTATGGCGTAACATTTTTTCACTTCTTACTTCTCCACAGCGTATGTTGTTCGCCTGCAACCATTTTAGACACGTTAGCGTGTTTCCATGCTATCATTTGCTAATCGGCACAGGGGCCGATGACGGTACTGTTCACAGAGCCATGGCACCAATTAACAAACAACAACATCGTCAAAAAAGCCTGAAATTGGGATTCATTACTCCATCCTCCACGGTCTAAGAAGTAATACAGGCTTTTCCAGCTAATTATCACAGACACAAGACAGTCACAGCGAGCATGCCCGTTGCACAGCACTCGGACCCATGTGTTCATTGAGGGGAGCATGTGCAGTGACCCCAGCACTCTCCACGATCTTGTCCACCCCTCCCCCATCTAAACCACTTCCATACACACAACCCCATCCTCCTTCACTCCTCCCCCTCTCTCGGGAGTCACGTCCCTGCATTCAGCTTCCCATTCAGGCAGATTGAGAGTGATAGACAGAATGGAGAACAATCCATCACACGTGTGACCAATATTCAAACCGGCATCCCTTCTCTGAATATCAACAAAGAAACGGTGCAAAAAAAGACAGCTGCACCCATGAATGTCGATCCATTTTATCTTGATAAATCGCCTAAAACCATGATCGAGTGCGGCAACGTGCAGCCTTTATTCAAGCCATTGCAGTGCCTATAATCCCATGTAGTCAATGTGCATGTGTGTTTCACAGGTTACCAAATTACCCAATTGTGGTGTCGCTAAAAAAATATTTCAAAATCAATTTTTATAGTCCAAAGTCCTCTGACTTTATGTTTAAAATAAGGCTGACTTTCTTTCTAATTCTAATTGTGAATGCACATCCTCCAAAATATGTGCCGAAGAGGGCAGGAGGCTTTTGAAGCAACTGAATTTTTTTTTTTTTAATTCAACTTTTCCCTGCAAGATTCTATTCTAGATTCTAGATTCTATTCTGAAACAGCATTTAAAGAGTAATGAAGTTTGCAAAATGTTGAATCCAATTCACTCTAAACATTTCTAATAATTACTTTCAGGACCAATTTAGCTGATCTCTCCTAATCTGCCCGCCCACACACTTTGACATCTGTCCACACGTTGCTGTATAGACAGCGGCTCTACAGGAGCAGCGTGGGGCCCAGGAGCTCTTCTGTTACCCTGAAGCAAGACTGTGACCTCTGACCTGGAGATACAAACACACACACACACACACATACACGCATACATACTATGAACATGTAAAGGAAAACACGGCAGGCATGCAGACAGTAACTAAGGCATGAGTGTAAAAACAGACATGGATATTTGTTTGTGAACTCACACGCGCGGAGGCACACGTGCAGAAACAGCAAACAACAGAAGGCTGTACAACAACTGTGTAAACTACAGATGCAGCCGGTCCGACAACTCATCATAAAACAAAGCTGCTTCAGAAAAATGCCCGCTTTCACACCTGACTTTTGCTGATGACAAAATGACAGCTGAGAATGAGGTGACCAAGCAGTGAATCATCACGTCTTTAATATCTCAACTCTCTCACAGTCTGGGCATGGGAGGAAAAAGGGATTGGGTAAAGTAAAAGAGAGACAGAAACAGCTGCCAGGGCATGAGAAATAACCTTTGGGATATTGTGGTTCACTGCCCACGGACGTGACTCAACTTCCTGCTCGAGTGATTTGTTCGAGGACAATCACAAGGGCGGTTTATCTCACTTTAAAACAAACAAAAAATAGCACTGGAACTTCCATCCACTGAAAGTATATTTTAGGAGGACGAATGGTACCAACACTATGCTCTCCTCCAGAGGACAATTGTAACCACATCCTCACTCCCAATGCATCTTAACCCCTCAGCTCACCACCCGCCCCACTGATCAATAGGTGAACCTATCCATGGAGAGATGGGGTAATGATCGGCCCTTAGGTCCGAAGCGTAAAGAGGACGTAACCCTTTCTCCAACCCTCTCCTGTTTCTTTTCATCGCCTCCTTTTCTTGTCTTGTATCCACTCCTGCGTCTATTGATCTGTTTCTGATACTCTGACTCCATTTGAATTGCTCTGCAAAGCAGAGACACACCCTGGAGAAGTCTGTCCCACAAACAGACACACAAGTCACATCTGAGATCAGCTTGGAGTTTCCAGG